CCTGCGAAGTTTCTAGCAAACTTCTGAGCTTCTAGAAAGAGCTAGGCTGGCTTAGTTAGCCAGGACTTATCGCACAACGGATCTAATGAGCGTCTAAGTGCGGAAACTAAGTCCACACTACATACATACAGTTACTATGTGTATAGTATGCAGTGTGCCTGTTAAAGAGTGTACAATTAGTTTTATTTGTTATTTCTAGATGTATATAATCGTAATTCCCGTTGGGAAATCTCTTTTTAAATAAATGTCGAAGAATATTATTAGAAAGAAAAGAAAGAAGAAAACCTTTATTATACACAATATACAGGATATTTAGATTAAGTGAAGTGCACTGGCCCCCACACTAGGATTCCCTGTGATGTGGGCAGCCAGTCTCTTCCTTTTGACATCTAAACAGTATTTTACTTAATGATTTCTACATAAAATTTATATTTAAACTTTTTTTGCACAATAAGAATATTTTCAGTATCAGCATAGGACAGGTTAACAACATATTGTTTGAGATGTTTAGTAAATGTATGTAATGTGAGTTTGATATGTTATTATTAGATATTATATTTTATTATACATATGGACATCTCATATAACCCACATAACACAACAGTTTAAGGAGGATTAGGTATACATGAAACGATAATTGCGATCTGCAGCGATCCGATTAGTGAAATTACTTAGCAGGTATTGTACATGGAATCCATTACACTCGTGATGACCCGTTATTATCCTCTATTATATATGACGAAGGGAAGTCAAATTTCAATATTCATACATTGGCTTTACAGGAAATTCTTATATGATAAACCAAAGAAATGTATAAGATAATCTATATCGAATTATTAAAAATAAGATAAATTCTAATGGAACTTTGTGTGGCACTAGATAGTTTTTTAAGCAACTTCTAAGTGTATTTTTTGTGTATGTTCAAGCATACTTCCTCTGTCCGTGGTCTGATCTGTATAATCAAAGTGTCAAATGATTCGAAAAGTCCGTTCGTCTAAAGGTAAAGTATGATGAAATATTAAGAACCAGCTGTTCACTAAAGTATTTCAGAAACAGTTCTACTTAACGTATCCCAGAGGGAATGACCCTAAATTAATAATAAAACAAAACTTACCCCTTACTTTAAAAAAAAATATATATAATATAATTTCACAAGAGAACAATTTATAATCATAATTAGGAAATCATCGGATTCCTCCTAATTAAATAATTGAATAAATAGAAAATGGGGTGAAAATAGTTACAACTCACCGAATTCTAATTTAGGTATAACAGGATTACGATGGTTAAATTATTCAAGCGATTATAAAATGCGGCAAATTTAATAACGAATCTCGAAAAACTTTCCCAGTTGAAATCTTGATTCTAATATAAAACCTTTGTTGCTGAACAAACGAAGACGTGATGCGACGAATATAATTGTGGCGTACTGTTGTGCCAATGCTATGTGCGCAAATGCAATTTACAGAATGTTTACGGAGTTAGCTGGCCACTTGGCTATTCTAATCATTTTACAACTTTTTCATGGCTGTAATATTAAAAATAAATCAGTGGCGCTACAACCTTTTACACATACTCGTAAACGGGTGCTACTTGTGGTGACTGGTCGTACTTGAATTCGTGTATGCGGTGATGTTAGTTGTTTCGACTATGTCTTTGCGTGTTGTTGCCACGAGAATGTAAGTGCGTGCTCCTATTTCAAAATGCCTCCTGCTGATAGAGGACAAATCTTTGTTTTTATTTTTTTTATTATTATTTATTACGTAAGATGTCCTGTGGAACATCGTGTACCTAATGGTTGCAGCTCCTTACAAACATTGTGTAAAACAAAAAACTAGGCGATTAAAAAGAGTGGCGGAGAGTTTATTGCCAGTTCTTCTCTTCCATGCTACGCCCTTGATTTAAGAACGAGCAGTAAATTAAAAATTAGAAGCATTTAATGTATATTTCTTTTTTTGACGTTCATAAGTGTACAATGTGTTACCTACATTAATAAATGAATTTTGATTTTTGACTTTTTAGGTCCGGCCTCAGATTTACGTATCTGTTTCATGATAATTTGTCAATCTTATAGGCATCCTGAGATTAACACACACCGTCGACTTTTTTGGGTCTTAAGTGTGCCAGTTTCCTCACGATGGTTTTTTCACCGTTCGAGCGAGTGTTAAATTCGCACAAAAAAGTCTATTAGTGCACAGCCGGGGATCATTTGGGATGGCTACTCACATTGCCAGAAGATTTGCAAGTGAGTTGCCGGCTTTTTAACAATTGGTACGCTCTTTTCTTGATGGACCCTAAGTCGAATCGGTTCGGAAATACAGGGGAGGGGTTAACTGGTGCCGCATAGTGGATATAACTATGCGGAATCCGCATAACTGCCTTAAGAAATTCTCAAATGTGGAATGACGGACGTCGAGGTCTGCATTCATCAATTACGTATAAACTAAGGGTATTTGATAAACGCAATAATTGAATATTTAGATACTACTGGAACTATTAATTGTCATGTGATTATTTGTTACTTTTAGAAAAGTCACGTCATTCGGAATCTATTTTTTTGTTTATTGTTGTTTATTTGTTTGTTATCACCTGTCAACTGTGTGTAATAATAGCAAGTTCACTAAAGACGATATAATGTGTTACCAATTAAAAAATAGGTTTGTCAATTAATCATACAAAAACTTTTTATCGAAAGTTATAGTTATTTATTATAATCTCTGTAACAATAGATTTACTATTAGTATTGTCTTTGATTAACATAACTTTTATTCATTTAATAAAACACTATTTTGACCGGATTGAAGTTATGTATTATTATAAGCAGCGTGCGTGGTCACGGTGACCACGCACGCTGTAAAGCACGCGAAACGTCGGATAAATTTAAAATTATGTTAAATAGTTGTAAATTTATAATAATACATAACTTCAATCCGGTCAAAATAGTGTTTTATTAGATTTACTATTATTATACGTTAAAAGTAATTCACTTTCAGTTCGAAGTTTCAAGAATATTTTTAAAATCCTGGTGAGGTTCGATTGCAGCATAGATTATATTACAAGCCTAGCATCACATGTAGCTGTAACCTTTCTATTTTTTCTTTAGCTTAAATAATTGTTTTGACCAAACATCTATTATTAATTTCTATTTAGCTAGGCTAGGTATTTTTAAATACACTCGTAAACTACTTTTTACGTTATATTTTAAAATAATCAATTTGGTATCTTGGTGCTTACGCGGTGATTAAGTAGTTCTTAACTATAGAGGGCGCACTAAGAGAAGAAGTGACTTCTGACTAAGATACCTAAACTAAATATGGATTCCGGTTGTCAGTAACGGCTGGATAATAGAAGTAATTTATTAACTTTAAAACGAGACATGATACTCGATTAAATTGTTTCCACTAAGGAAGATTAAACCAGCTGAGCCGTAAATTAGATTGTAATCAATTTCTCCAAGACAGTTTAGTTTCATGTTCATATCTTAAGTAGCAAACACAAGGGACCACGTCAAAGGGATACGTAATAAATTATAAGGGTTGTTTACAATTTAGACCAGTCTTCACTTGCAGATTGTCACATAATATTTATTGTTTGTATAATATAACCTATATTATAGTTGCAAGATAGTCTGGATTAGCGCGCAATTATTGTGATTATGTACGTCCCAACCTTGTGAATTTACACATCGTACGGTGGAGAAAAACGGGAACCTGACATTGCTTGAAATGCTGAAAATTCGCAAAACAAGCCAACCGAAACTTTAACGACTTATTCTCAGCAATAGATGTACATACAACAAAAACTAAAGCAGAAGCAGATGCAAATCTGAAAGCGAAAAGTGTATGAAACGACCTTTTTACAGCGTTATTGGTATTTTGACGTATTCCTGTAAGGTGGTGATAGGAGTGACTATTTGTGATAATTTTAACCTTCATATGTATTGTGTAAAAGTGAACCATTTTTGAGTTGCAACAGTGGAAGAAATAGGTAAAATTTTTTTTTGATTGGCTAAATAAATAAGAATATTTCTTAAGATCCGTATCTGAGTCGGAAGAGATTATTGTAAATAGATCGGACGTTTACGCGTCACCACTAATACACAAAATAATCAGAAAACATGTAGTAAATCACAGCCGGCGCAGGCAGCGCTTAGTAACCCGGCCTTAATCCTGTTTTTTTTCAAAATAACTCAAAAATGCAACGTAAAAAGTTTATTTAAAAAAAAGTATCAATTTAAATCTCACTTTTTACAAAATGTCTGAATTGTTACTTATTATTTCTACCTAACTGTTACTGGTTCTAAATTTGTATTTTTGGTTTTATATTCATATTTTATTATAATTATTTCCAGTATTTTTGAAATAAGTTATTAATTGTGTAAAAGCTAAGGTTATCTTTTCAAAATAATCAGTAATCCAAGTTTCATAATGCTTTTATTTATTTTTAAGGCTTTTTAACGGGAAAACATCTTAAAAATATAATATTATAAATTTTTGCTTGAAATAATATTCATTTTTCGTCTCGCATTTTTAAATGTGCACCGATAACTGTTGTTGATAATATTATTAAATATAACCAATGTTTAATCGTACATGAACAGTTAGTTTAATAAGAATTGCTTGGGTTCGTATGTCTTACTTTATTCATAATTCTCAATTTGGAGTTAAAACTTAAAATACTTCATTATACTTTATAATTTGGTCATGTCAATTCTTTCGAGTTTTGGCGCCATCGTTACACTATATTGTAATCTGTCACGAGTTGTCAAAGTTCTATGCTTTATGCTTTATTGTGATTTGTCTAACGCAACAAGCAAAATATCAAACTTCAAAGTCAAAATGATGTAATTACAATTTACAACTGTCAAACTGTGTTTATGCACCGCTTGCATTTTCACTTGTATTGGTTTTAATGTTTTAATTTATAAAAACTAACAGAAAGCTGGAATGAATTTAATTTTTTAATTACAAGAGTTTGTAAGGTATTCTAGAAAAGTAAAAATGTGTGATAGCGATGATCCCGGTGACCAACACAGTGGTATGGATTTAACTGGGTTTTTGTTTGGTAACATCGATGAAAGAGGTCAACTCGAAGATGACGGTCTACTTGATGGAGACTCCAAAAAAATGCTCGCATCCCTCAACCGCTTGGGCCTTGGGTCTATGTTGTCCGAGGTCCTTGATGCTGAAGAACCTATCAAGGAAGAAGAAGAAAAAGGTTAGATTTTTTTCGGTTGTTAATTACTAGTAAATTTTTTATTTCTGCAAAACTGTTTTAAGTACTTAACCAAATTTGCATATTGCATATCTGCTTTAGTAACAGTACTGTCCGGTTGAAAATAAATATTGATATGGTTTACCTACTTTTACAGATTACAGTCAAAAAAGCCCATCAGCTGTAGATTTCTTTGATATTGATGACGCTGTTGATGATGACATCAAGGTACCTAACTTTTAATATATGTTATTTTATTAATCTTAATCATAATAAGTTAAGAACACCCTTTTTTAAAAATTTATCTTTGTAAGACATTTATTTTATACAATTTACTCACCAGTAACTTTCTAGTTGGTGACTTGTAATTCTAAAGCAAAATAGTCAAGTTAAGCAACTAAACAACACAGTTGTTGGTTGTATAAAAATTTTAAAAGACATTTCAGACAGTGTAACAGTGTTTACTTTACTCTTTTTTAGGAAGAGGAAATTAAAACAGGTTGGCAAGAGCAAACTACAGATACCATTAACAAAAACACTCAAAAACAGAAGCAGGATATATTATCAGACATTGATTCAGAACATTATTTACACAATAATGACAGTATTGAACCTACAGATTGGAAAGATAATGTGACGAGTGATAATGACACAAAGCAAGTATATGAGACAAGAAATGATGAAGGATATGAGGGTGACATGGAAGGTGATGATGGACTCATGCCACCACCTAGTAGCGTTCCGTAAGTATTAAAACAAATAAAACTGCTCTACACCATCATTTTACCTGTGTTAATTCAGGTTGCGGTGGTACAGCTCTTTGATGTCCTCGATGAATAAGCTATTTCACACAAATGTAATTATTTGATTGAACTATTGTTCATTTAATAAATAAAGAACAAATTATTCAAGTTTAAAATATTTAGTATGAATAAACAATTGTTATTGGCAAAACATGCTTGATTAACTACTTAAGTTGTTTATGTAGATAATATATTTTGGAGAAATAAATGTTATTTAAAATAGGTTTGCCTTATTGTAAGTAAAGAAGAATCTATTGTTTTAAATTTAAATAAATACAATCATAAATATGAAATTATATATTTTCGAAACTTGCTGTTTTGTAGCCAATAATTTACCACATGTGCATGGGGTATTGGGGAATAATATTTGAACAAAATTAAAAATTTCAGTAGACAAAAGAATGAAAAGCCTAAGAAACTTGAAACACCCCTAGCTGCAATGCTTCCATCAAAATATGCTAATGTTGATGTAACTGAACTGTTTCCAGATTTTAGAGCTGACAAAGTAAGTATATAAAACACTTTGTTGCAATAATAGAACACATAATAACAAGTAACAAATTATTAGGAAGGCAACGGCTGGCCTTGTTTAGCGATGTTGTTTTGTTTTGACCAAATAAATTTTCTTTATTATCAATGGTTGAATGTTTGTTAATCAATTATTAATATTATTTTATTTAAAATAATCTATGAAAATATGTTGTAAGTTATTCTATTAAAGGGTATTAGTTTAGAAGTATTGTTTAGAAAAACAAATTTATTACATAATGGTCTGGCATACTCATAATTAATTTCCTTATAGTCAATGCAGTTCCACAAGCTTTTAACATAAACAATATAATGTTTATTACGAATGTAACACAAAAAATAATAATCAAAGGGGCAAATCAACAAAAAATTATGGAAAGAAAAAAAAAACGTAATAAAATGTAATAAAAATAAGGTGTAATGTGTGTATGTTGTGGTTGTAACTGGCCCTGGCTCAGCATTATGCTGAGGAGCAGATGTGTTCCACAGGGCTGGTCTGCCAAATTCCACAACGGTAAGTTTGTACCTCAGACGCAAAAAAGAAAAAGAATGTAATAATAATTATAGTAAAAAAAAATTAACAGTGTAAGTAAAGAAGTCTTGAAAGATTTGTCTGTAAAGTATATATATTAAATAAAAAAAAGGGTGCGTGTACTTATGTAAGTAGTTATACTCCCTTGGCATTAGTAAAAATAGTTTTTGATTGCATGCAAATAATTAATTACAATTAAATAATCAAAGACTGGAAAAGGAGTCATTATAGTCAATAAAGTTCAGCTTACATTTTAAAAATTAAATAAATAAATATTTATTATTATTCTCTTACATTAAGTGTAACATAAATTCTATTATTATTCGAATGTTGTTTTTAAATTATGTCCAATGCCGTAGCATCATAAAGAAGTATAACTTCAAAAATTAAAATATGTATCATTGTTACTAAAACTACTATAAGAAATAGATAAATAAATATTTTGTTATAAGTTTCTGTTGACTAATTATATATACTTAAGTCATAGCTAGTATTTAGTCATAAGCTCTAAGTAAACATTATTATAACAAGGTTTTAACTTATAGGTTTTATTATTCTCCCGTCTTTTTGGCCCTGGGAAATTGTCAAGTTTACCACAAATATGGCGTGGTGTAAAAAAACGACGGCGGCGCAAACGTAGTGGCAGTACCAGCTCCGATACACCGCCTCAGGCCGAGACACAAGATCCACAGTATGCCAGCGATGATGAAGAAAAATTTCTTAAGTATGTATTTTTTTGACCTATATGAATATGCGTCATAGAATAATTTCTTTTGAAAATCACATGAACAGAACACAGAACCTAAAAATATTTTTTACAGTAAATTGTGACAAAATAAAAAAAAATCTAGTCTATGGTATATTTTGACCCAATTTACTTTAAAATAATACTTTTATTGCTCATGAAGTATCTGAAATAATTAAAAAAATTAGGTATTTATATATCAAAAATATGCCAGGCCAATGGAAGAGAACCAACATTCATCACTACATGACAGTAATGCATCGGGAGACAGAAATGATAAAAGCCAAAGAGTTACTCCAGCTCACTGGAGATTTGGTCCGGCACAGGCCTGGTATGACATGCTCAATGTGCCAGAAACAGGAGACGGCTTTGACTATGGATTCAAACTAAAGGTATACCTAATATTTTACTGATTTAGTGTATACGGATAGTTTGTCGATAAACAAAACCAGATTTTGGTTATCAACATTTTTCCCTATGTCTCTCTTTGTGAGGTGATAACTTCTTGTGGAAGGGTAAACCGCTTCGTTACGTAACGCGTTATGGTCTCGGCCCTGTCTAGCTTCTCTTTCTTTCACGCATACGGCAGCGGTAGCCAGGCTCCTGTCTCGCTAAAACACGCAGCGCAAGCCATATTTCGGACAGAACAAATAAACTGTCACCGTTAGTGAAAGAGATGATAGAAAATATGATGAATGAAGCAGAAGACGATCCTCTGAATATTACAGAATTAAATAGTTCAACTTAGTTTAGGTTATCACTTCTGTCGGGCGTCCTGAGACGTACATATTTTTTTTCTTTATAGACAAACTAGCTGATCCGGCAAACGCCGTTTTGCCATGTCATTATATCATTTATGGTTATTGTGCCTCACTCGACATAGATAGGCATAGTGTGTCGCGGACTTTTTTGTAGATATTTATAAGATCTACAATTACTTAGCTTAGCTTAATTAACATTTTATGGTTCTATCTTTAATAGTTTAGGCAGGGTACGCAAAATAAGTAACTTTTTTGGTTGATTTTTTACACCTTGTGTCCGAAAAACCCTAATATCTTACGGAACCCTATTTTTGTTCAAAATTAAATATAGCCTATATTACTCGTGGATAATGTAGCTTTCGAATGGTGAAAAAATTTTTTAAAATCGGTCCAGTAGTTTATGAGCCTATTCATTACAATCAAACAAACAAACAAACAAACAAAGTTTTCCTCTTTATAATATTAGTGTAGATAAGTGATGATTTGCCTGTAGATTTTTGGGTTCTATTGAGGCGTGTTTTCTCCACCGTACTTTCGAATTACTCCGACGAGAATAAAAGACCTAGGTTATTACTTAGGGATTCTTTCCGTTAGGGAGCGTTCAAGTATTACGTAACGTATTTTTTCCTTTTGTAAAACGTTACGATGCGGGGCGGGGATTAAATTACGCGTTATTGTTAATATTATTTTCGACTCACACCACATAATAGTAACTAAAGAGTCACTAGGTGGTCACGAAACGTTTTAAGCTGGGTATCGATTACGCGCTCCTGGCGCGCGCGCCATGAATGACCGCACCGAGAGTGCGTTCCGTGAATCGCGTTCCAAATATTTGAAGTATATCAACTAAGCGCGCCTGGCGCGCGTGGCAACTGTTCCAGTGTTCGACCCTTCATCATGCAAGCCAGTCAGCAGCAGCTTTTGTAATTATTCACAGTATTATAAACAAGAAAAGCCAGAGCCAGTGAGTTGGCTTTTAGATACTCTCAATTTTTCTCTTCTGTACGATGATAGGAGCACAGTCATTTTTTTCTTTAATTCCGGCATAGGGACTCCCATTTCACTACTGATTTCTCTCCAAGCATCTTCTCTAAGCGATTTATTATGATACGAAGAACTTTTGCTATTCCACAGTAGTTCTTTTGTACCATACAGTTGTATTAATTTACGGCAACTTTGGTTATCCATAATTGGGAGCGCAACAAACACAAAAAAATACGATATGTCCGTCCCAACTGGCGCGCGCGCCACGATTGATGCGTGGTAAAAAACCGACACCCGTCGGAACGGACCGCTCCGCGTTCGGGAGCTCCAACGAACACATTGGCGCGCGTTCCAAAACGGTATCCATTGCGCGCGGCTGGAGCGCGCGCCAATGTTCGCCCTCTTGGAGCGCATAGTCGATACGCGGCTTTACTATACTTGGGTACAGTACTGTACTTGGGTACTGAATAACGTTACGGCGAGTTACATGGGGGAGGGGGTCAATAATCTCCAAAATTTGCGTTACGTAATACTTGAACGCTCTCTTAACGCATAGCTTCATATTTTGGTAAGTAAATTAATAGGATTACGACGTTAGGGTAATAATTCTGCCATGTGTTACATAACTTTTAAACTATTTTCAAATCTTTTCCGACCTTATTACCAGAAACGTAGAGTATAATATTGTATGCACTTATCACAACTTTATAAACTAAATATTAAATATAGGCACCGTCTCCGGATCGCGAAGAGAAACCCATAGAAGAGCCAGTAGACGATCAAAATACAGAGAGTGCGGACAGCGGGTTTCCAGACGATTCTTTTCTTATGGTATCCCAATTGCAGTGGGAGGATGACGTCATATGGGACGGAAATGAAATAAAACATAAGGTACAAAATCTTCTTAATATTTATAAACTCTCTCCTTCAAAGGCCAGCAACGTACCCACTAAAATGGGTGTACATGGGCTGTGTTGACTCCTCTTTTTGTAGGTCCCGTAGGCTCGTTTGTTCCCCTCGTTTATCCTATATATAAAACAAATTCAATACCGCTACTGTATCATAAAGATTTGAACAGTAATTGATATTCGAATAGTTAATTTGTCAATAATAAAATATATATGAAACCTAGTGAAGTAATGTAGAAGAGCAATTTTGGCTTAGTCAGTGTGCGACTCTCATGCTCCTTCGTACAATGAAGGAAAACATCGTGAGGAAACCCGCCTTATACATAAAAAGTGGGCGCCGTGTATCAGGCACAGAAGAATGATCACCAACCTAGTAGAAAAAAACAAATAATCACGATACAAATACAATCTGAGTCCCAGACCTAAATGAATAGGTATTTGAAGTCGTGTTAATTTTTCTCAATTATTTATTCAAAACATTTCTTATGACTCTCTTCTTTCTCTCTCTCTCCTTTCTCTTTTATAACTGTGTTTTTCCAAATCTCAATGTTTGTAGGTATTGGCGCGCCTTAATAGTAAAAGTAACGCAGCAGGGTGGGTCCCAACCTCAGTGAGTCGTACAGCGCAGCAGTTCTCACACCCGCGACCCCACATCCCGCACACTCCACACACACCATTACCTACCACCCAACATAAGACACCCACGTGAGTATTATATTAATTATATATTATAAGTATTTTAAATAACTATATAATAAACTACAGAATATTCCTTACATTTAAGAAATAAATTAATAGCGTTTTGTTATTTTTATATTGTAGGGGTTGACTGGAAGAAACCGCTTTTAGCTGGAAGACCCATTTACATATTTGGCTTCATTTCATAATATTTTCAAAATTCTGAAAATTCTTTATTTTAATTAGTAATTTATTAGAATTTTTAGAATAATAAGACATCTCATTATATTTATTTCATCTTATTTTCAGTTCAATAGCATCTACAAGCCAAGCGAATGCGGACGGTGAAGACAACACATGGTACAGTATATTCCCCGTTGAAAATGAAGAGCTGGTGTATGGGACGTGGGAGGACGAGGTCATCTGGGACCCTGAGAACATGCCAAAGATACCAAAACCCAAGATATTGACCCTCGACCCCAATGACGAGAATATTATATTGGGAATACCTGATGACGTTGACCCTTCCAAGATTACACGAGGTATATGATCTATTATTTGCCGTATATTGTATAATTTTTCAGTGTTACTTGATATTTTATTTTTGTTAATTTGGTATTAATAATTAATATGTAATATTTTTTTCTCTTACTAAGGTTGCTGGAAAAGATCGCTTGCTCGCTATAAGGCCGCACATTGCATTTAATAAATGATGTCATTTGTTTTTATTTTAATGTAACGAAATTGAAACAAATAAATAGGTATATATTTGTCACCGTAAAATTGTAAACACCGTTAGATTGTAATCTATCTCGCGAGATTGTAATCTGTCGAAAGATTGTGAACTCAACGTACTGCTTACAATTTAACGTATTATTATTCGGTAGATTGTAATCTGTCGAAGTGAAACCGTCACATTGTGAAACGGCCATTTTCTACTTTTCTATTGGTTATAAGTGATGTGACATTCTCGGTAAATTAATCGGATCGATTATTTCCTCATTAATTGTTATTTTTAAAGTTGAACCTAATCGAATCGATTATTTCCTCATTTGTTAATTTTAAATTTAAACCTAATTTAACCATTACATTAACTTCATGTTTCAATTAGTGTATGGTTCCGAAAATTTTTAAATTATTCAAAAAGTACCCAAAACCGAATCAGAGCACCCCACTATCCACGTGGTCTTATCTGCCCTACCCCTAGAGTGTATATAAAAAAATCGGAGGCGCAGTGGAAGAGCAGCCCTCACCCGCTGTAACAAAGCACAGGCATTATGCAAGCCGTAGCGGCTTTATAAAACAGGATGAATTGGCCGATGTGAAAGGCCCTTGCTGTGCCAAGGTTCATTCCACATCATTCGTGGCCGTAGAGGACCGTAATATTAACCGTTGATCGCGTGGCTGGATGCGGACAAGGCTACGCTGTTACCGTGTCCTGCCCCGGGCGATTGCTGGTGGCGCCGTGGGGTTTTAGTGGGTATGCACAACAGCGAGTCCCACATCACCCTTCCCCAGGTCAACCATGCCGCGGGAGGGTATGCGTAACGCATTTCCCCACGGGGGAAAAAAAAAAGCCGTAGCGGCTAAGGCTGGTCCAAAAAGCCAAAGCTGCGGAGGCTTGAATAAATTGCCTGTGCTTTGGTACGCAAGGGTGGAGGGGCTACATTTCCCGTAGCGCCGGTGCTGTCCAAAAAATGTATTATTATTCGGTTAGGTTAGGTTTGTATATTAATATTTTTTTTTAAATAACTGTTCAACTGAAACTCGAAATCGAATACAAAAATCGATTTTCACTTTTAAAAATAGATTATTTTTGAATAATTTCAAAATTTTCGGAACCCTACACTAATTGAAACATGAAGTTAATGTAATATATGTACATTTGACAAGTAATGGTTAAATTAGGATTAGGGAAATAATCCATTCGATTAGGTTCAACTTTAAAATTAACAAACGAGGAAATAATCGATTCGATTAATTTACCGAGAATGTCACATCACTTATAACCAATAGAAAACGAGAATGTCACATCTCTTATAACCAATAGAAAAGTAGGAAATGGCCGTTTCACAATTTGACGGTTTCACTTCGATAGATTACAATCTACCGAATAATAATACGTTAAATTGTAAGCAGTACGCTGAGGTTCACAATCTTTCGACAGTTTATAATCTCGCGAGATAGATTACAATCTAACGGTTTTTACAATTTTACGTTAACATATTTACTCGCAGATTGCACAATATAAACACGATTTACAACAAAAAATAACTCCATGCACTGCCTTATCGCTATTAAGCGATTTCTTCCAGATGACCCTAGTTACAATCAATCACTATTATCAATCAATCACTATTACAATTAATCACAATTACTATCAATCACTCAATTGGAAAGTACTTAAACTAGCATTCGATCGTTTATATTGCTGAAACAGGTAGACTATGAACATTAACCAACTCGGTTAGAAGGTGTAAGATATATATAATTATAAAGGCCGGCAACGCACTTGCGGGCCCTTTGGCAATGTGGATGTCTATGGGCGGTATCACTTAAGATCAGCCTCCTTCCAGTTTGTTCATAGATATTGCTTTCTAGAAAATTATAATAAAAAGTGAAAAATAGACATTGACAACATGGTAAGTGGACGTGTGGAGTGTTTTGACTAAGACCGTGGTAAAGGTAACGATCAGTCTTATGTGCCTTTTTGCCAATTGAATTTCAGGTCTATGTACCATTAAGCCACGAAGGCAAGTAGTTGAAAAATAAACCAAATGAGAGTGGGATATTTTGTACTGTATTCACTTTGATTAGTGCGAGTGCACGTGATTAGTAATTGAGGATGATAAGTGCAGGTGTGTAGTGCAAGTAGTGTCCAATTCTTGTTTAGTAAATTCAGTTGTCAATATATTGGCAGGCACGCTGCGAGTGAGGGGGAAGGGAGGGCGCACGCGACGTCACTACTCGCAGTTCACTCGCAAAAAAAAAGAACACGCTTCTAATCGCTTTACTACGTAGCCAATTAATCACCTGCACTAATCAGTCGCTGTCCACACTTGATTCTCATAATCACTAATCACCTGCACTAATCACTAATCAAAGTGAACAGGCCTTTAGACAAAAATACTTTGCGACTGGCCTGACTGTCTTGAATCGAATTTGTATGAAAGTGGTCACGTGACCAGCCTGTTGCATCGTTTTTGTTTTAAGCGGGTTGTTGTACTTCGATTGATATGCATCGAATGTTTTCAGAGCGAGGCCCTCAGCCAAAAGTAAAAATTCCACATCCACACGTAAAGAAGTCGAAATTACTATTGGGCAAAGCTGGTGTCATCAACGTATTGCAAGAAGATGCGCCTCCGCCGCCGCCGAAGTCACCTGATAGGGATCCCTTTAATATATCTAATGATGTGTAAGTTTAGTTCAGTTACTCTTATTTTTTTTTAATATGTCGTATTTACGCCTTGTCTATGTTATATGATTTCAGTGCTGCAACTAAATAGTCTTTGTTCCTACTGGTCATTTGTTTTTTAATTTCTATTATTGATTAAAAATTACAAAAACACCTGAAGAGTGAGTGAACACATACTATAGAGTGTACCGTGGTGTAGCCCTTCAGGCACTTTGGTGTTTAAATTCCCTTAAAATATGTCTTACAAACTAAAGTGTTAAAAAATACAATCAATACAAAAATTTAATGAAAACATCAAAAAAAAAACAGAAAAAAACGTTTTTATTAATAAAAAACAAAAAATGAGTGGCGCTACAACCTTTTTAGGTCTGGGCCTCAGATTTTTGTATCTGTTTTATTATCGTTTGTCAATCTAATAGGCAAGTAGATCAGCCTCCTGTGCCAGACACACGCCGTCGACTTTTTGGGTCTTAGGCAAGCCGGTTTCCTCACGATGCCCTCCTTCACCGTTCGATGTTAAATGCGCACATAGACAGAAAGTCCATTGGTGCACTGCCGGGGATCGAACCTACTACCTCAGGGACCACTAAACCAACACTGCTCATTGCTGCTCTGTTTTATAAATACTTAACTGAAATTTTAATAATAATTTGCATAGGTTTTATTATCACTAAAAGATAATCTGAAATGGTTTTTGAAATCTTGTCAAATAGCCTATTATGTATAGAAAAAACCTAGATCCAACATTGGGATAAATGGGATATATGATTTTAAAACTATGTATCTGAATTCATTTGAGCATTTATTTTCCCTTTACTAGACATATGCTAAATTTTCCCAGGTCATATGTTAATCTTGTAAAGTATATTGCAGATTTTATCAGACGAAATCGCAGAATCCACGGTTGAAGGCTGGTGGGGGACAGCTAATCCAACACAGTACACCCGTAGTCGAATTGCGAGCGCCCTTCATACAAACGCACATGGGACCAGCCCGGCTTCGGGCCTTCCATCGACCAGCCTTGAGAAAGCTCGCGTATGGTCCATTGGCCGCGCCTGGACCTCACCCAGTCCAGCCATTGATTAAACATATACGGAAGAAGGCTAAAGTAAGTTTATGAATTTTTCTAAAATTTGTATGTAATTTATATTGGCAGAGAAACTGTTATTAGTTTAAAATCTACGAAGATATTTCTTTGGTTTCATAATCACAATTAGTACTCATATTTTTACAGAATCCATTTATTTTCCTTTGAAGAAGTATACATATATATTACCGGAATATAACAAAACCCGCAAGTTTATAAATTTCCTAAGAAATCATAATTCGTAGGATTCTAAACGAGAGATAAATTGTATTATTTACTCCACAAATTGGCCGAACTCACGCGTAAAATTATAAGGAAGCGATAACCAAACGGCATGTGCGCTCTAATTGGTGGAATAAGCCCTAACCTAACCTAACCGTTTAGAATCTTACGAATGGAAATCCGTTAGTTTATAAGTTTGTAAATTGTGGGCGTATAATAATAAAAAATTTCCCTCGTTTAGAATCCTACGAAAGTTTATAAATTTCCTAGAAAATTTATAAACTTGCGGATTTTGTTATCTTCCGGTGTGATATATAATGCCATCAAAAAACAGAGTTTGTTAAAAACCTAGTCTCGCAACTCGCAGTTCTTCTAACGTACAACGTTGTTAGATCCATGTAGTACTAAGTCGGTCAATTTATTCAGTCCCTACTTATGGGACCTTCTGTCTTACGTTGCTCCATAATTAGCTAACCTGACAATATCTTATAGTGACCATATCAATGTTAAAAATCTTCTGTTTTAAGTAAATACTAAAATCTAAATCCCAGATTTTTATGTTAATTTTTTGGGACCTAAAATGTCGACTTGATTAGTTTAGTTTTAATTTATTTTTGAAGTCATACTTCTTGGTGCGTTAGGGAAAAATTATGAGTAAATTTTTACGATGCGCGCGCACACCGTCACAAAAAACCGACACCCTGAAGTTAGCTATAGTCAACATTTAATTTTATAGAAGTTATACTTCTTTTGGCGCGTTAGGGAAAAATGATGAGTAAATTTTTACGATGCGCGCGCACACTGTCACAAAAAACTGACACCCTGAAGTTAGCTATAGTCGACATTTTACTTTTTTGAAGTTGTACTTCTTTTGGCGCATTAGGGAAAAATTATGAGGGTAAATTTTTTCTATTGTAAGTGTCGATTTTTCTACAAGCGTAAAATAAGTCGAATTTTTTGTTACATAAGTACACACAGGTTTTTTTTAAATATTTTTTTCTAAATTCACAGCAACGTGAAGCCGAGCGATTGGCCTCTGGTGGCGGTGACGTATTCTTCATGCGTACACCCGAAGACCTAAGCGGGCGTGATGGCGAATTGGTACTCCTAGAATTCTGTGAGGAACACCCACCGCTAATAAGCCAAGTGGGAATGTGTTCGAAGATCAAGAATTACTACAAGCGAACAGCTATCAAGGATACCGGACCCCCGCCGCTGAAGTACGGCGAAGTTGCGTACGCACATACGTCCCCGTTTCTTGGGATCTTACCTCCTGGTGCTACACAGTCTGTGGTCGAGAATAATATGTACCGAGCGCCTATTTACAACCATACATTGCCACAGACGGACTTTCTGGTTATTCGGACAAGGTATACATATATTCATTTATTTTAAAAAAGGCACACCAACGACACATTTAGACACTTACAGAGGACACACGATACAAAAAACAAGTTTGCAACAACATTCAAAGGGAAACATTACAATTATAAAAGATAAAATAAATAATACAGTAAAAGTCAACGACAGATTAAGAAATACAAATATTAAATCAAATATGCAATTTAAAAATTTAATATATTTCTTCTTTGCAATTGTTATTGGTGACGGGATTTCGTTTTATATATGTGATATGTAGCAGTGTTGGTCTAGAGGCTTCAGCGTGCGACTCTCATCCCTGAGGTCGTAGCTTCGATCCCCGGTGCACCAATGGACTTTCTTTCTATGTGCGCATTAAACATTCACTCAAACGGTGAAGGAAAATATCTTGAGGAAACCGGCTTGCCTTAGACCCAAAAGACGACGGCGTGTGTCAGGCACAGCAGGCTAATCACCTACTTGCCTATTAGATTGACAAATGATCTTGAAACAGATACATAAATCTGAGGCTCAGACCTAAAAATATTGTAGCGCCACTGATTTATTAATTTTTTATGTGTGATTTATATTTCCAAGTAAAGAAATTTTCTATTGGTTGTCAAAATGCAAAAAAATGTATAAAAAGTTGTTTTCGTTTAGGATGGTGTCAATCTAATGTCACTTCTAATTTTCTATTGGTTGTCAAAATGCAAAAAAATGTATAGAAAGTTGTTTTTGATTAGGATGGTTTCAATGTAAAGTCACTTCTAATTTTCTATTGGTTGCCAAAATGCAAAAAAATTTATAGAAAGTTGTTTTTGTTTAGGATGGTTTCAATGTAAAGTCACTTCTAATTTTCTAATGGTTGTCAAAATGCAAAAAAAATTATGGAAAGTTGTTTTTGTTTAGGATGGTGTCAATCTAAAGTCACTTCTAATTTTCTATTGGTTGTCAAAATGCAAAAAAATGTATAAAAAGTTGTTTTTGATTAGGATGGTTTCAATGTAAAGTCACTTCTAATTTTCTATTGGTTGCCAAAATGCAAAAAAAATTATAGAAAGTTGTTTTTGTTGAGGATGGTTTCAATGTAAAGTCACTTCTAATTTTCTAATGGTTGTCAAAATGCAAAAAAAAATATGGAAAGTTGTTTTTGTTTAGGATGGTGTCAATCTAAAGTCACTTCTAATTTTCTATTGGTTGTCAAAATGCAAAAAAAATATAGAAAGATGTTTTTGTTTAGGATGGTGTCAATCTAAAGTCACTTCTAATTTTCTATTGGTTGTCAAAATGCAAAAAAAATTATAGAAAGATGTTTTTGTTTAGGATGGTTTCAATGTAAAGTCACTTCTAGAAAAATAACACTTCCATGTTTCTAGGACCAGACTCGTAATGGTGTAAATGTTATTTAATGAGAATTGATTATGTAAATTGCTCTTCTCAATCTGACAGCAGTTTTTATTTTGTAATACAGTCTTCTGGGCTCATAATGTGTAGTTTTTAAACCACCTATTAAATAGCTGTATGTGTCTATTGACTATTGAGAAGATAAATAATGAAAATTAATACAATATAATGAATTATTAAAGAGGTTTTTGTTTTCAGACAAGCGTATTACATACGAGAAGTGGATTCATTATTTGTCGCTGGTCAAGAGTGTCCATTGTATGAAGTACCTGGTCCCAACTCGAAAAGAGCTAACAATTTTGTTAGGGATTTCTTACAGGTAGGTTTTTAGCTTTAAACTTGAAATATGAATACTATGACGTTTCTTTTCTCATTCACGATTCTTCTTTCCGTCTCTATCTTTGATATTCTCCAAAATTCTTGAAACCTGAGTATTTTGGACACGTTATACGTAACTCCAAAAAATACGAGCTCCTTCAACTAATCATACAAGGCAATATCCTGGTTGAAAAACTTAAGACAATGGTTTGGTCAAAGCACCAAGTCAATGCTTAGAAGCGCGGCATCCAAAATTAAAAGAGCCATGATGATCGCCAACCTTCGCAAGGAGATGGCACTGTAAGAAGAAAAATATTCTCCAGAAGTGACTGTCGAATTTCAAGGAAATTTCCGATTTTGAAAAAGCTATTTTTCTGTAGGCCGCTAATAATTCCAACGTAAGATTTAATTTGAATTTTCCAAAACTATAATTGAATACTCCTGCAAATTTTCCCTTTTTTTTTTTATTTATGGCTCTGGCACGATTTGTGCATTAGCCAGCGTCAAGTATAGGATTTTTTATAATTCGTGCTTGTTTTTTAGAAATTCGACAGTGTCCTCTATGTACGGTTTAAGCACTCGCCCGGTACCGCACAACCCTCCCAAAGGCCGAGGACAAATTTTAAATTAAATTAAAACTTGCCCTCGAACCGGGAATCGAACCCGGTACCCCTCACCTAGCTGCCACTTAATAAGACCGCTAGGCTATGAGGCCCCCAAATTTTTTTTTCCCTTTATTATATATATTACTCTTGGTAAAACACTTTGAATTCATTGTGTTCCAGGTTTTCATATACAGATTGTTTTGGAAGTCGCGTGATAATCCTCGCCGTATTAAAATGGACGATATAAAGCGAGCATTTCCGTCGCATTCGGAAAGTTCGATTCGTAAACGGCTAAAACTTTGTGCTGACTTCAAACGAACGGGTCTTGATTCTAACTGGTAAGAATTTATTTATTTACACATCGTCGCAAAAAGACTTAATGGGTTATTGAGCAGGCACAAAAGCCTTCTGGCTGGTTGGTTTTTCGGAAAGCGATTTTTATTTTAACATAATTAAAAGTGGAAGAATCGAATCGAGAAGAATTTCTCGAACACTCCGAACTATTAAATAGATCGGGGCTTATTATTATTAAAAAGGACAGCTTCAGGTTTCTTTAAAACTGATTGCATATTAATTGTAATTTAAATATGAGTGTAGATTTCTATGAAAAGTCGGCGACTCGTATATATTCATTATTCATATTATAAAGTTTAATCTATACTAATATTAGAATGAGGTCAAGTTCGTATGGTTGTATATTAACCCCAATAATTAAAAGACTTTTGAGCCAAGGTTGTACGAGCTAGTAAGGAATAGTTTTAAAAAACCAAGATATCGGTAACTTTATACGTACTCATGCAAGATTCTGAAAACTGATCAACGCCAAAATTTACAATTTAAGTCAAATCTGTAGTAAACTGTAATTGGAGTTTCTAGTTGCAAAATATTACGGCCCAAATTTGATCGTGTCAGTTAACAGATCAAAATTGCAAACAAATGTATAACGTTTATCGAACGATTTATCTATAAAAAATATTTAAATTAGACAAATGGATGAAGATAATACCGAAGCAAACTTTACTAAATTGAACTCAAATAAACATTTCTAGAATTAAAATTTGAATCGAGTTGATATTCATGTTAACAGTAATGGCAGTCGAACAATCTGTAGACTTTGGGCGGTCAAAATTTATTTTATTTATGTATAAGTTCTAAAAGAGTATGCATTCTTTAAAATACAAAGAAATATGACACAAAGCATTATAGAACACAAATTGCGTAACAGAAGAATTGTTTGTCGGTTGACTCCCTACCTGCCTCTTTTCAACAGATACGAGCCTACGAGCTCTAAATTTCACCAAGCATCATCTTGATGGTTGGAGGTCTTCCATCCAGTTTTCCGTTTTACAAGGCATCTTGTTTACTTTTGCGAACTAGTCGAACTGTGGAATCGACTAACAGTGGGGGCTTCCCTCAGAGATACGACCTTCAAATAGTTTAAAAATGAATGTACTCCTCCTCAAAGGCCGCAACCACCCACTAAAAACTTGGTGGACTCTATGGACTGCAAGGACTGCCCTTTTTGGTCGTCCCACAAGCTTGTTTGCTCTATTATATATATAAAAAATAAAAAACATAAAAGCGAGGATTGCCAAAACAGCAAATATAATATAATGAAAACGTGAGTTCCCATTTAACGTGTAAATCAATAATGACAATTGTAGGTGGGTAATAAAACCAGAATTCCGTCTACCCTCGGAAGAGGAAATTCGTGCGATGGTTTCCCCTGAGCAGTGCTGTGCCTACTTCAGTATGGCAGCGGCGGAACAGCGCCTTAAAGATGCTGGTTATGGAGAAAAGTTCATCTTCACACCGCAAGAGGATGATGATGAAGAGTTGCAACTTAAAATGGATGATGAGGTAAATTTTCTGCCTACGAACTCGAAGGTTTAGTTTATTTATATTCTACAATTTATGTCACCTGTATATTTATAAATGTTTGAAGTAAAAAACATTACTATTAAATACTCTTTTAGTTATTTAAAAAAACATACTTTAACGCTTATTTATATATATATATATATATATATATATATAATATACTTTATATTAAAGAAAAATTAAGTAAAACATGTTGCAAGCATTAAAATTACAATATCTATGTTTAAACGGTGCCAAATTAAATTTACAAAACTTTGTATCCCAAGTTTGATCCGATCGTGACGTCTGGTAATTAAATTTTATAGTTTTAGAAAACATTTTTACGCGAAATCAATGTTTGGAAATATCCTACCCAGTTCGCGAATGTAGGAAAGAAAGAAAAAAATATTAAATAAAATATACGTACATAAAATAAATACAAACCTGAATCATTAATAATGAGCCCAACTCGGCTTTAACAGCAACACAGATTTTCAGTGGACCTATACTATGTGTGATAGCTATACATACTAAATAAAGTATAATTATGAGAAAAAAAAACAAATTACAAACACAAACAGACATTGAACATAAAACATGAGAACATAAATACACAGATATACAGCAGCCATCAGTCTCACACAAACAAGCGTTTCCCTAAATAGAAGAAAGACAATTATTTATTTGTAATAATATATAACTGTCACTTGTTTATGTACTAAGTTTTTGTGAAAAAATGAATAAAGATTATTAATATGAATATAAATTCCCAACTCAGCCAACTGGCACTCCCGAAGACAACATTTGCACTTCATGTTAAAAGACGTAATACCTTGAATGTCGCGATTTGGAGGTGGCCGGTTGTTCCAGCATTTAGTTGGTATCTATCGAAAGCTACCGCAAAAAGACGCTGTTCTTTGTTTAGGAATAATAAGCAGATACTTTGAATACAGATATTCCAATAACTTCTATGCATCTAATAACAGTGGCCAATTTATTTGCTTAAAGGTGAAAGTAGCTCCATGGAACACGACACGTGCCTACATTCAGGCGATGCGTGGCAAGTGTTTGCTCCAATTGACGGGGCCGGCTGACCCAACAGGGTGCGGCGAAGGTTTCTCGTACGTGCGCGTACCAAACAAACCCACTCAACAGCCCAACGAGGAACAACAGCCTAAGAGAACTGTCACAGGAACGGACGCCGACTTGAGAAGACTTAGCTTGAACAATGCTAAAGCTCTGCTTAGGAAGTTTGGCGTGCCCGAGGAAGAAGTAAGTAATAAAGAATTTAAAGCCAACCAAAGACAATATAGAGTATAAAAATAAAATAATAACAGTGTTGCATGTATTTATTTCGCCTGTCATTTCATTTCTTATATGTAATGTGCTGCATGATTTTTTATCACAAGACACGTGACTTGTGGTATGAAGCTATTCCGTTAATTGTATAACGTAATATTTTTCAATAGACAATCTGTGGGCACGTCAGTACACGACACTTCTAGCTGACATAGAATCTTTAAATTTAGAATAGAAAAAGATTGATTGATTTGGCAATCGTACTAAACATTCTAATTTAATATAATATGTATTACTTACGGCCGCTTTCTATAATCAATCCCAATCCAATTTTCACTACCAGAGAGTAATATTTCAATCCATTTCTCATACAATACTTTTCAATAACCGATCAATGGATCGTTTTTGTAAAGATCTTTGAATTCGACAGAATTTTGATATTTATCAATCTACATTTGCGAAAATCAGGATTGGAAATAATTTTAGATTATAGATCGACTATAGAAAGCGGCCATTAGAGATACATGTGTTTTCATGTGATGGCCAAATTAATCTATTTATTTAAAACAAAAGATTATGAATTTTGATACGGTCTCTATAAGATGCTGTTAGGTTATTTAGCTAATTAAGTAATAACTTGCGTCTCTTATCTCTGAGGTCGTAGGTTCGATCTCGGCACCAATGGACCAAGAAAAACCGACATGTCCTCAAATCCAAACATCAACGTGTGTCAGAGAGATGATCACCTACTTGTATATTAAATAAAATTGACCAAATAAAGGGATGCAATATTATTGGTCCTAATTGGAGGATTTTGACTCAACCATATAAGCAATATATAACTAATAATATCTAATATATAAAATTCTCGTGTGTCTCGTCTCGCGGTTTTTGTAGTTAAACTCCTCCGAAAAGGCTTGACCGATTCTCATGAAATTTTGTGTGCATATTGGGTATGTCTGAGAATCGGACAACATCTATTTTTCATCCCCCTAAATGTTAAGGGTAGTCCACCCCGAAATAATTTTTTTAAATTTTTAGATAAAAGATTTTTTATTACTTTTTTATGATACAGCATTAAAAATACATACAACCCCTAATTTTCACCCCTCTACGATCAACCCCTATTTTTCATTATAAATGATATACATGGCAAAACGACGTTTGCCAGGTCAGCTAGTTATTATTATAAATTAAGATAAAATAATTAAGTGCAAATTGAATTAGTTTTCTTTTACTAATTACAGATCTAATGTTTCAGGCACAGAAGACTGATCCCCTACTTGCCTATTAGATTGACAAATGATCATGAAACAGATACAGAAATCTGAGGCCCAGACCTGACCAAAAAGGTTGTAGCGCCACTGATTTATTTTAATTTTAATTACAGATCAAGAAGCTCTCTCGTTGGGAAGTAATTGATGTAGTGAGAACGTTGTCTACGGAAAAAGCAAAGGCCGGTGAAGAGGGTATGACGAAGTTCTCGCGTGGAAACCGCTTCTCTATTGCAGAACATCAAGAAAGGTAAATATTTTTTGTTGGTCATAATGGTCATATTTGTTTTTTTGTCCAAAATTAAAAGTTAAGATAATTGGAGGAAGCAAGAAATTATTGTATCGTTCGTTATGTATTTGTTTTTGAACAGAGTTGTAGGTAGATGTATAAATTTGCGTTGTAAAAACATGCGCCGAAATCCTGGTTTCATCCGCACCTTGATGGCTGGAAGTTTTCCACAGTTCGCTTCTCTAGGCATTACCTTTTGCGGACTAGCGAGCTGTCGAAATACCCTTTCTAGGCCGGCAACGCCCAATAACATGTGTTGGGTCCATGGGCTGCGGTAGCTTTTATGGCTGCTATAGGCTCGTTTGTCTCGATCATATATAAAAAAAATATATCATTTAAAATTTATCATACTTAAATAAAAATAAAAAAACGTGTTGAAAACGATTTATGTGTTTCTTAAAGAAATATAATATAAGCTTAAATTCAGACAGAATTTTACATAAATTTAATCTTAAACTAGTGACTATTGTGGCACAGGCAACCCAACTTTGGCAAAGGCCGACTACATTTCTTTCCACTCTGCTCTGTTCTGTGCTTTCCATGTCCATATTGTCCCAGTTATGATTTTTATTTCGTCCTCCCTTCGAAACTGTATACTTCGTTATATTGTCTTATTTCTTGGGTCCAATATGCCCAATATGTGATCCTTTTTTTCCACTTTTCAAAGAGATATTTGAAATTATAAATAATGATTAGATAAAGTGATCCGGTCTATAACATGCTTTTGATATTTATTTTTCTTTTACATTAAAAATGTAACGCAAAGTTAAAAACAATATCTTCTTTTCAGGTACAAAGAAGAATGTCAGCGCATATTCGAGCTCCAAAACCGAGTACTTCAAAGCACTGAAGTACTGAGTACTGACGAGGCTGAGAGTTCTGTCAGTGAAGAGTCCGACTTAGAGGAAATGGGCAAAAACCTTGAAAATATGCTCGCCAATAAGAAGACCACAGAACAGGTATTTGAAGCCATACTTTCCAAGACCTGGTTTCCGCTGTTTGTTCAGCGGTCTTACCCTTATTATGTTTTAGCTGACACTAGAAAGAGAGGAAGCTGAGCGCGCTGAACTTCGGAAGATGATACTTGGACAATCAGAGAAGAAGCCACAGATCAATCAAAGCGATCAGCAGTCATCAAATCAAGGTAAATATCCATAATAATGACAAGAGTATATTTTATATTTAATTCAGATCAGTTCACAAGGGCATGTTAAAAGTTATTTTTTATAAACTATAATTATTTTGATCTTAATTTTGTTTTGAAACGCGTACTTGTGTACAAAATTATTTTTATTGAGACACAAGTTTGCCTTTGTCTAATCCTAAGTTATTATTAGAAATTCCCTTTTTTTGATTGTTAGAAGACACATTTATGTGTCTGTTTCTATAAAATAATATTATAACCCTCCATTATATCGTCGGACAATCTTCTGCAATCAATCTTTTTTTTCATTGGTACTTTAGGCGCTTGGCTCGTTTTCTAAATGAATATTTTTTCGCTTAGAAACGAGTTCCTGAGTAAAGATGTTCGGATACCAAATGAGCGTTAGCAACGGAGGTGGAAAATTGTAATTTTACTACTAACTGTATTTTGGGTTGTGATACTAGGTCGCGTACTCCGTATCGTACGTACGTTCCGCAACGCATCGGGTCAAAGGTATACGCGAGTTGAGTTGGTTCGTAAAGCGGCCGTACTTGAAGCCTACGCTAAGATTCGTTCAACAAAGGACGACGCCTTCATCCGGCAGTTCGCAACTATGGACGAGACGCAGAAGGAAGAGATGAAGAGAGAAAAGAGAAGAATACAGGTGAGCTATAGTATTTTCCCACATACCAAAATTAATGAAGAGGAATCGCAATATTGGCTAATAGTAAATAATGAAATTGTGACTGATAAACCGAAACTGTCAGTTATTTGACGAGTTTTGTTTCATACTGATACATAAGTGTTTTATTTATAATAGGACTATGACGTAAAAGTGAATTTACGAATAACTGTTAGTTAACTCACTGACTTGTACGTCCCAAGATATTCTTAGTAGTCGGTTTTATATATATTTTGTTAAAATGGTTTCAGAAGCTTACAATTTTTTTTAAATATATTCGTTACGTTTTAGTAACTTAACTAGTGAAATATTATCAAGGCACAGATTGGTAGCGCAGGCCGATCTTTGCCCTGTAAACACTAGAGATTCACAACAAATTCAATACTTTTCGCAAAGTAACATTTAATTCAATGGCTGCATTTGTCCACGTGTAAAAATATATAGTCCTTTGGCATTATGAAAATTAGTTTTTTGTTTCGCATGCAAACAACTAAGTACGTATTAAATAATCAAAGACTGGAAAATTGCTGGGAGCTATTACAGTGCCTAAAGTTCAGTTTACATTTGGTGGGAAAATTACATAATAAATATCTAATAATTATTGTTTACTTATGTATCACATAACTACTATTATAATTCTAATTTTGCTGGCAACATTATGTCCACTGCCCATTTCCGAAGCATCTTCGACTTCAGGAAACTAGCGTTCTGTCAATTCTTAAAAGACGGTGCGCGCGCATCGTAAAATTCCTCTCATCAATTTTCATAGGGCGATAAGTATATTTTCTTAAAACAAGTTTAGAAAAACTTAGCACATAAAACCGAGAGGGAAAAATTTAAAAGTATGTAAAATAATGTGCTTAATTTTATAATAAGTACATTCTTTACATCCGGTAAAAAGTGTTTTCTATGTGAAATGTGAAAGACGTTAAGTCATTGAAAGACAATAATGCATTTAACGCATGCATGCCTTGGCCCTATCCAAAATGACTGGGTCTACTTTCGGGTAACATTAAATTGTATTGGCTATTTTTACGTATTAATTTCATATATAGAAAAGTTATCTAAGAAGTTTTGGCCTTTGCCTTACAGGAACGTCTCGTGTGGATAATAAAAGTAACCAAGTAGCGAGGAAAGACTTGCAGGGAACCTTTAAATTGCCTGTTTTAGTCAAAATTGGCGGGGACAGGTACGATATACATTCCTAATGTAACTTAACTATTTACTTAGTGGCAGAATAACCAAGAGTGGTATTTTAATTTTTGTCTTCAATCGGGTGACTTGGCTGGGCACCACCACTATGTGGATCCGCTCCCTGGGTCAGAATATAGATTAGGGCCCTTCAAGACTTGACGAACCCCTAACGACGGGCAACGAACTTTAAACGAGATCTCAATGACTAGAGGTAATCGTAAATCATTCAGCTGATAAAACTTTCCCATTTGCCATAAAAACTAGTATGAGCTGTCAAGATTTACGAGTGTCTATCTGTGCATTGGAATTTATATTATGTTTCTGCGCTATAACAATCCATATGGTTTACAAATGTGGTCTTGAATGACGAAGTCTTGAAGGAAAACAATTGACACTATTTACATGGCTATCCTAAATGGGGTCATGGAAAGAAACTTATTTAGTGTAAAGTATGCGTCAAATTTGCCCAATTTAAAATATCAACTAAATATATAGTCCTTGATCGCTAAAGCGTTACGAGTAGACAACCTGGTTAATAACGATGGAATATCAAGATGGACCAAGACACATGTACGAATTATCTGTGGGTATACAAAATAATCCGATATAATACCATTTTTCTAATTAACCAGTTTTAAATTCTAAATGTGGTCTTTTACAGTAGTCGCCCACCGGGTACTAAGAGGTGGAAATCTTGTCTTATTCCATTTTTAGGTGGAAATGTTAATACAAATGCGTGCCCGTTTTGTTGAAAGGGTCTTCCGTTTTTGCCGTCAAAACATTAGACCAGTTCAACAAACCAAATCAATTACTTTACTGACAATCATTAATGCATAAACACCTTGAAATGTGCATAAACAAACACGTTTGCAAGTAGACTTGTTGAAACCTTTTATTATGTCTAACTTATACGGAAGTATATTGTTCTGGATATCACAATCATAGAAGTAAACATGAACAAAGTCCTAGAATTCAAATCTTAGCTTTAACCAGGTTCAAAAAGTCCCTTTAACAGAGTAATTTAATGAAAAAGAAACGACTTCGTTGTAATATCAATTATGGAAGGTTTCCCATATATCCAGGGCCCTCTTACCAGTTTTGATCTAAGTATTAAACAACAGGTTTTGTTTAAGATGACTTATAAGATCTTACGATTTTCATCCGAAGTAAAGACCCGACTCTGAATCTTACAAACGTTTACAGACCGTTCTAAGCCCTGAAACAAATGACAAAACTATATCGCATTGATTGGATTTTGATTTGTCTATAAAGGTTTTCCACTTCAATCATAGTCACATGACACGATCAGTATGTTTGACTTACGGTTGAAGATAATTTCGCAAAAATGCGCATAGTCAGAAAATTTAGAGTAGTTTCATTATGTACATCGTATTTTTATTTTTGAAGTCTGACATTTCAAAGTGTTGCTCTGAAAAAGTTCTCCACCGAAAAAGGGCACAAATTCTGACTTATTTGAGGGCAATAAGCAAAATGCTACGTATTTTCTATGTTTTACCTACAAACAGGCAAATCTAAACATTTACTTACTAAAGGAACCTAATACAAAAAGGTTTTTTTAAAATTTTTTTGTTTCTAACATCTCTCATTTATTTTAATTACTGTTATTTTATTGCTTTATCTGGCATACTGTGTGCTATTCAGGTTTAGTAAACCTTAAATAATATGTCTATCTCTACTTGTAAGTGTTATTTTTACTGTAAAAAATAGATGAAAAGCGACGTATTGTATCACTAGTTTTGGCCGTTTTTGCGGCGGGAACCACCATTTAATGTGGAATCAGCTGCCCACTTAATAATTTGGGTATGTATAGACTTAGGATCCGTTCAAGAAAAGAGCGTACCCGATTAAAAGAGACGCATGTGCCCTGGCCAAAAAGGTTTCCATCACTGACATGTCAAAAATGGTAGCCTCCTGTCCGTTTGCCCCCGGAATTAAAAAAAATCTAGTTTTACTTCTAACAGAAAATTTATACCTATGATGTATGTTAGTGTGGTGCTTGCGGTCAAGTGGGACACATGCGTACAAACAAGGCGTGTCCCTTATACACGGGCGGTGGGCCAAGCTCGCCTGACCGTGATGAACGGGACGATCGCGATGATCGACTCGAAGACACGCTGGATGAAGATACATCTTACGTCGATGGCACTAAGCTCACGCTACCCTCCAAGATTGTGAAGGTACGTAACTAATAATATTTTTATAAGTGAATTGTTTTGTATGAACCACTCCTTATATGGAAATTGTATTCGTTTTTACAACAAACTTCCAAGCGAAATTAGAGAAATATCACTAAATAAATTCAAAGCCCTCGTTAAACGAAAATTAATCAATAAAGCTTTTTATAAATTTGATGATTATTTAAATGATCCTAATCCTTGGGATTGAATTGCTCCAGTTCAAACAATTTGATAACTCAAAACTTGACGATTAAAAAGAGTGGCGGAGAGTCTTCCTAGTTCTTCTTGCCCGCTCTACGCCTTTGACTTGTGAACTGGTAGTAAATGTAGAAGTAGAAGTAATGTAACAAGTTTTCTGTTGACGTTCATAAGTGTACTGGATTACCTATATGAATAAAGTTGTTTTGAGTTTGAGTATATTTGCAATTGGGTTAGAAAATATACGGTGTGGTATAAACTAAATTAAGTTATCCGTTCATCAGGTTGTCAAACATAAACATACATTTACCAATAAGGAAGCGTTCAAGTATTACGTAACGAATTTGGGGGGGGGGTCCTTTTGTAATATGATACGGGGCGGGGATTGAATTATGCGTTATTGTTAATATTATTTTCGACTCTCCAGTACTTTACACCACATAATGGTAACTTTTAGGTATAAAGAGTCAGTAGGTGGTCACGAAACGTTTTACTATACTTGGGTACAGTACTAGTGCAGTACAGAAAAACGTTACGGCGCGTTACATGGGGGGGGGTCAAAAATTGCATGACGTAATACTTGAACCTAATACAAAACTGATCAAAGTCATTAAATTCTACATAATATTCAAAAAATGCAACTAACATAAGTTTTGGCCAGTGTCATAAGATGCACAGAAGTCAGATTTTAAGTTTTTTTTTTCAATTTTACTTGTAAAGGCGATTTTTCACCGCGCAAAATTTGCCTAAATTGCATACTGAAACTTAATAAAAATAACTTGGCAATAATATGTGCATCGCGTTTTAGTAATGTCCTAAAATTTTTGCGTGGTAATCAGTCATCAGTCTTGCCAACGATCTGGGAAGTAAAACATAAATGAAATTTTTAGCAATCTGCGGAGGAATTCCGTCGTCGTAGCGGCAGTCGTCGCGGTGAAGTCCGAGCGGGCGGACGGAACCGAAGACGTCCCACTGCCAGCGAATCATGCGACTATCTCGTTAAGAGACCAGCTGAAAGGCGCCGAACCGACCCACTCGTTACGCTGTCGTCGCTGCTGGAAGAAGTCCTCACTACAATGAGACATTTGCCGGACGTGCAGCCTTTCCTGTTCCCTGTTAATCAAAAGGTATTTGCATAATATATTCTCGGTACATTGTGAACTTAATCACTAATAGTATATATTTGGAACACTTCTTGTTACTATTCTATATAATTGTTATTTTATTTCCATCCTTTCCACCTCTAGCGCTGTTTAGGGCCCTTTCTGCCGGGCACCAGCTCTTTGTGAAACCAGCTGCCAGGGGAAATATTTCCAAACCAATACGACTTAAGGGTATTTAAAATAAGAGCGTAGGCTGAATGGTCGGCAAGACAGGCGCTAGCCCCTGGCGTTGCAGGTGTCCATGGGCGGTGATTTTCGTTTCATTCAAAGTGACCCGACTGCTTGTTTGCCCCCTGTCCATAAAAAAAACTATCACTATTAAAATTATTTAAAATTGGAAATAGTTAATGTAGATCTATGTAGATTAGATCAATGTAGAGATTTTCATATGATCATACGCACACATGCGTACACGCCCATGTATATCACGTACACTCATATTTATCAGAATTTTTGATTCACTGTTGATTTGGTTTTCTTTTATTGCATATTCAAGTACAAAATTTTGTTATTTTATTATACCTCGGAAAAGTTTGGTCACTCACAACACAAGAATGTCCATCAGAGTAGTCTACCACCTTGAAGTAGGTCCAGAATTATCCAGAATTTCTTTAATATATTTTATCTCTGCAATTAATAAATCATATCACATAGTATGAATATATGTGGCTATATTAACACCTGACACAGGCTCGAAATTTAATTATTTTATGAAATATTTTTATTGACTTTCATGAAATATGTAACAAATCGTATTTTGATTTAAATATAGTAAAAAAAACAGTAGCGCTACAACCTTTTGTGTTTGGGCCTCAGATTTCTATATGTATCATTAGTTTTTCTAATGGGCCAAGTAGGTGTTCAGCCTCTGCCTGACGTACGAACGAGTGTTAAATACACACATAAGCAGAAAGTTCATTGGTGCACATCCGAGGATCAAACTTGATCAGGGAAGAGAGTCTTAATAAAAGGAATTTTAATTTCCAGCTGGTAGCGGACTACTATCGCGTGGTGACCCGTCCCATGGACCTGCAGACGATTCGTGACAATCTACGTCAAAAGCACTACCACAGCAGGGAAGAGTTCCTCGCTGACGTAAACCAAATTGTCGAAAATTCCAACTTATATAATGGTAAGTAGTTGCTAATTGTCATTAAATTATTAAGTGTCGAAAATTATAAAATTTAATTTTAAAATTTATTTCTTTGATAATAAAAACACGTGGCATTTTAATTTAGAATTCATCATTTGAGATTTCAATAAATTATTTTGCATAAAATATAAAATACTAATATTTCATAAATTCTCTTTACGAAATTTTAATTTTAAAAATAGAATTTCTGTCAGGTAATTCGCCTTTCTCGCTTTCTCTCAATCGGTCTCAATCGCTCTCTCCCATTTCTTCGACAAAAACGCTGCACATATTCGTGACGTTTCCGTAAAAATTTACCCTCATGCGCCTAAAGAAGTTTAACTTCAAAAAGTTTTAGAAGACATTTTCTGTAATCTCGTTGCTTACTTGGTACAACTCAACATCTTTTTTTGCCTCTTTTGTTGTTTGTTTGTCTCGTAAATCTTGTTTTTGTAATGATAAATGCTACAATTATTAGAATTAGTTTTTGAAGTGAAACTTCTTTATCGAGGTTGGAAAAAAATTTAGTGTAACATTTTTTCGTTACGCGTCACATTTTTTCGGTTACGCGCCATGTTGCTTTTTGAAGTCAAACTTTATCGGCGTTGGAATGAAACTTCTTTATCGACGTATGGGAGAAATTTTGTAGCAAATCGTCACGTTTTTCAATGATAGTAATAATTCTATTACAATTAATGAAATTCTATAATAATCTTCGTAGTAATAAGGTAAAATGAAATATTTGTATTCATGTCTATGATAATAAAAGCCTTTTGTTAAACTTTATCTAATTTAACGAATTTCTGTAAAGTTGCATATAGTAGATCATTTTTCGAAAAATAAGATCATAAAGAAGTTTCACTTCTTACGTGTGTACACCTAGTACACGCACAATTTATTTTATATATATAGGAGGCTCACCTGCCGGCCGGTATTTTGAGTATAGACAATATAAGTAATAACACCTGGCGTATAATCCCAAGTCCTGAGTTCAATCTTGGGTAAAAATATTTGAGTGGATCCTGTTGGTAATCTTAGTACACAGGTTTATTCATCAACTCAATTTTATATAATAGTTTTTATTTAGGTGCAAACAGTAGCTTGACAGTGGCCGCTCAGCGGATGATGCAGAGATGTTTCGAGAAACTCGCTGAAAAAGAGGAACAGTTTATGAAACTCGAAAAACAAATTAACCCGCTGCTTGATGATAATGATCAGGTAATTTTTTTATTTATTAAGATATGACGTGTTGCCAAAACAGGTGCCAAAACAGCGCGCACGCTTATAACAACTCTTAGCTACACTCTCAAATATATTCACACACACACACCCATTAATACACTTAATTGCGTCACGCAATTTTTGAAGATTATTAAACCCCTCCCCCCCATGTAACGCGCCGTAACGTTTTTCTGTACCCAATAGTAAAACGTTTCGTGACCACCAGAGTGACTCTATACCTAAAAGCTACCATCATAGTGTGAAAGTCGAAAATAATATTAACAATAACGCATAAGTCAATCATCGCCCCGTATCGTAAAGTTTTACAAAAGGAAACCCCCCCAACCCCCAAATTCGTTACGTAATACTTCAGCGCTCCCTTACATTACTTGTGTTTGATTAATTGTACACTAACTTTTTCTCAAAAAAAAAAGGTTATTAAAAATGTAACTATACAAATACGACCTTGTGTGAATTAATTTGATTTTTTCTGTGGCGCACTTCTAATTGATTAGTTAAAATTAATAAATTTACGCTCAAAGAAAGTTAATTATTAACTGATTTCAAGATGTTCTCTGTTATACCGGTAGGTGATTTTGGAATTAGATAATATTTGGTTTGACGATCTATTTATGTTTCCATGACCGTGTGCTACATTTCGTAAGTGTATGTTTGTCCACAAATTTGTTCTCAATAACTAAAAGACATAAACAGAGGAAAGAATCAAAAAGTTATTTTTTACGGGGTTAGAAAAATATAGTTCTAACATTTTTTACGAGTTATGGTAGTGATTATTTTTGAAGTCAAACTTCTTTACGGCGTTAAACTATGAGATAAATGTTATTTGAATTACAAAACGTCACAAAGACGAATTGCAGCAATGAAATTGTGTAGGCAGTGTTCAAAATTTACTTTAAAGAAATATTTAAAACAAAAAAGGCTTAGTACTAAAGGTTATAATATTGCGGTGCAATTATTCATACTTGAACATTGTTGAAGTTATACTTCTTTAGGTGCGTTGCGCGAGTTTGCGAGACACAAAATTAACAGAATGAAGTTGCCCACGGAAGATGCTACGGCATTGGACATAATTTAAAAACAACATTCGAATAATAATAGAATTTATGTTACACTTAATGTAAGAGAATATTAATAAATATTTATTTATTTAATTTTTCAAATGTAAACTGAAGTTTATTGACTATAATGACTCCTTTTCCAGTCTTTGATTATTTAATTGTAATTAATTATTTGCATGCAATCAAAAACTATTTTTAATAATGCCAAAGAAGTATAACTTCTTACGCGCGTACATAAGTACACGCACCCTTTTTTTTAATTAGCCTTGGTAATTCGGTTACATAGAAAGACTGGCAAAATGAAATTATGGGATTTGAGCAGCTTAATTACTCAATAATTAATTTACAAAGAAGTTTCACTTCTGACATGTGTACTTTGTAAGCACGCACTTTTTTTTCCAATTATTTTTATTACAAATTTTATTTGTGTGGATACTAGGTGGCGCTGTCCTTCATCTTCGAGAACCTCCTCACTACCAAACTAAAGATAATGCCCGAAGCTTGGCCCTTCCTGAAACCCGTCAATAAGAAGCAAGTAAAGGACTATTACAATGTTATCAAGAAACCTATGGACATGGAGAGCATTGGAAAGAAAATTCAAGGTATATATTGATTCTGATTTTTTTTTCATGCTTTAATCTTAAATATAATTTACTATACAAATCCCTAGGTACAAAAAACATTCGAAAATGTTTCTTAAAAGAAGTTAATCGGTAAAAAAGTTGACGGTTTTAAGATCTTCTGAACACTTACGTACGGTTTTTTTTTAAGTAATTGGAGGCAAACGGGCAGGAGGCTCATCTGATAAGCGATACAACCGCCCACTGACGCTCAAATTTCCAAAAGGATCGCAAGTGCGTTGCCGGCCTTGAAAGTAAACATCATGACAAATTTTCAGACCCAAAATTCTACACTTTTGGGACACAAATGCTGGTTAGATGACCAGCATTTGTGTCTTCTCTGCTCTTAAAATAAACTGATAGATAGAGACAAACACCCATACGTATATATAGATGAAGCGCTTTTAGATTATAGGCTCTACCTAAAAGGCTTTTTTTTTATGGCTCTGGCACGGTTTGTGCATTAGCCAGCGTCAAGTATAAGATTTTTATAATTCGTGCTTTTTGCCTTAGAAATTCGACCATGTCCTCCATGTACGGTTTAGGCACTCGCCCGGTACCGCACAACGCTCCCAAAGGCCGAGAACAAATTTAAATTAAATTAAAACTTGCCCTCGAACCGGGAATTGAACCCGGTACCCCTCGCCTAGCTGCCACTTAATAAGACCGCTAGGCTATGAGGCCCCTCCTAAAAAGCTTATATTTAAAATTAAATTTCAGCTCATAAATATCACAGCCGTGCAGAATTTCTGCGCGACATTCAGTTGTTAGTGGACAACTGTCGCGCGTACAACGGACTGAATTCGCAGTTCACGAGGCAGGCGGAAGCCGTGCTGCAGGTCACGCAGGAGTCGTTGGATCAGGTATAACTGACGGATATACTATATTTTATTTATTGCTAAAAACAACACTATATTTCAGGTGCCATGTTGGATGTATTGTATAGTAATATCGAGAATTAATTACAATAATAATTGTTAGCTGAGTGTAATAGAATACCATTTATAGGTCGGTTATCGAAAGCTGGCGCGTTCACAGTACTCACACTATTGCAATTTCACTATACAGTATGTTTAAAAATATGACTTTTTTGCAAAGCTATATATTTTAGTCTACTCTGGTTTTAGTAAGGTTGGGTGGGTTTTAAATAAATAAAAATGTGTCAAATACATATATGTAAATATTATGTGCATACGAGGGTGGATCCAAAAGTTCTAAGCCCGACCAAGAACGTAAAAGAGTAGTTTATGTAAATAATTTTTCATTTTTCGACATAAGCTCCATCTAGCTCAACACACTTCACTTTTACTTCACTAACAATTCTTTCAATACTCCTCTTACAAACCCCAGTCGCATCTGATGTCAAATTAAAAATTTAATTTTTTCATTAAACTGTTTTTATTAAGATGCTTAAAATAATTAAAAACATTGTGCACCATTTCACGAGATTGCCCTGGTAATGTTTGAAAAAAGATCAACATGTATAGTAAAGATCAACATAAACAGTAGCAAAAGCAAAACAATAACTGTCTCTTTTATACTCATAAGCTTGACCGAGCGCGAGAGAGACGGACAGTCTTTTCATGATGTATTTGTGATTGTATTTCAGTTTGACATCACGCCTCGCGCTTATTCACAGACACTACACAAGCACAAAGTGTAAATGTGTTGAAGCCACCAGCTTTAGATAACATACCAATACTTGTTGAAACAGTTTTATTGTTTTAATATAACAAAGATTACGATAGGTACAATCAGTTTATCAAAGTCATCAAAAGTAAGTAACTAAGTATAGAATATAAACGAACCACAGACTATAGAACGCGCCAATTTTATTTTTAACAATAATAAATAAATATAGTTCTCCCCACTATTAAAATGTACAGCAGTGTTGGCCTAGTGCCAGCGTGAGACTCTTATCTTATATATTTACTCTGAAAAGTAAAAAACTAAACATAAAACTGATCCTTATTTATAGTGCAATAACGTTGATTTCAGTTCGACGAGCACGTGAGCCAATTAGAGGCGAACATTGCGCGAGTGCAGCAGAAAATGCTGGAGGAAGTGGACCACTCTGATACTGAAGAAGAAATGCCAACCCATGATGACGTGAAGCGAGGCAGAGGTAGACCTCGTAAGCACAAGCCACAGTCACACGCAGATGGTGAGGTTATATTATATACGAATGAGTCAAAACTTTTTTTTCGGATTTTATTTATAAATATGACAGGTAATTGTAGTCGCGTTATTGTTGTAATTATTAATAGAGCCGTGTTGGTCTAGTACCTTCAGCGTGCGACTCTCATCCTTGAGGTCGTAGGTTCGAACCCAGGCTGTGCACCAATGGACTGTCTGTCTATATACGCATTTAACTCGCTCGTACGGGGAAGGAAAACATAGTTAGGAAACCGGCATACCTTAGACACAAAAAGTCAACGGTATGTGGCGGGCACAAAAGGTTTATCACCTATTGGAAATGATCACGGAGCACATACAGAAATATGAGGCCTCATTCCTAAAAGGTTGTTGTAGTGCCATTGTTTTTTTTATTTTTATAATTTACATATGTATAACATATATATATTATTACGAGCTAAGGGATCTGATAGAAAACGCCGTAGATCTCTTCAAGGGTTTTTTCCTCAACTATCTACGAGGAATTTGTTTACACAAAAAGCCGCTAATTACGCACAGAAATTCACTAATTACACATACACAAAATACTGTCACTAATTACTTTAATTACACGCACTCACATAGTACTTTATCACTTGTCTTCACTATATTCGCACTTTATCTCTTCGGTGTTTATCTCTTGAAATCACATCCGAAACTGAACTGTGATATTTGCGTTTCAGATGCGACTCCGAGGAAACGTGGCCGTCCAAGAAAGGATCAGAACAGTTTGGTTGATGGTATGTACTCGTATGAAATTTCTGGTGATATTTCTCCAAATAAAATTGTATGCAATTGTAAATGTCAATTTCAATACGAGTCTGAACATCTGAGTTTATACATACATTTTATTGTTAGTTAATATATCCATTTTATTAAGTGCGGTGTGGTCATTAAAAGTGGTTTAATGGCGAGTGGTAATTACGTTCCTTTTCATCACAAACAGTCAAAAACGCACAAATAAAGAACATTTTATTTTTATAAAGGTTTACTAAACCTAGAATTAGTAGGCAGTGATGCCAGCTAAAGAATAAAATAAAGTCATAAAAAAAAAAGGGCGCGTGTACTTATGTACGCGCGTAAGAAGTTATACTTCTTTGGAATTATTAAAAATAGTTTTTGATTGCATGCAAATAATTAATTACAGTTAAATAATCAAAGACTGGAAAAGGAGTCATTATAGTCAATAAAGTTCAGTTTACATTTGAAAAATTAAATAAATAAATATTTATTAATATTCTCTTACATTAAGTGTAACATAAATTCTATTATTATTCGAATGTTGTTTTTAAATTATGTCCTATGCCGTAGCATCTTCCGTGGGCAACTTCATTCTGTTAATTTTGTGTCACGGTGCGCGCGCATCGTAAAATTTCACTCTCATGAATTTTTCATAACGCGCCTAAAGAAGTGTTATACTTTCAAAAATATTCGATATATTGTTCGTGATATTGAAATATTTGTTATTTTTGTATTAACTCACTTTTTGTAGGTAAAACATAAAAAATACGTAGCATTATTTTTTGCCCTCAAATAAGTCAAATTTGTCCCTTTTTCGGTGGAGAACTTTTTTAGTAGCAAAACTTATGAAATGTCTGAAAATTAATAATTAGAGTAAAGGTTAATTTTAAAAATATACACATATGTTTCAGATCTTCAGTACTCAGACAGCGGAAGCTCAGGCCTCGAAGAAGTGGAACAGAAGGATGGTACTATGCTGCAACTTTCGCTTAGACAAGGTAATCAATCAAATATCAAGACAAGAAAATTATTTATTTATTTATTAACTATTTGGTGCATTACATATTTGGTAGATATAGATCAGATAACATACATTATTAAGTCATTTTGGAGTTTATGGCCTGGTATCTTGACCTTTAGGACAAAAAATAGTTTTTATATGATCAATAATGTTGCCATTCGTAACAATTGCAATTACGTAGAGAATTAATATGTTAATTTTTTTTTCAGATGAAGAAGCGGGCAGCAGCGGTGTGAGCGGAATGGGTGGAGTGTCTATAAAGAGAGAAGTGCCGGATGAGGCTCCGCGTTCAGACGAATTGGTTGACGTTGAGAATCACAACCTGCATTACTCCTACCCTATCAAGGTTCTTAGGTTTTTATTTAACAGGGGGCAAACGGGCAGGAGGTTCACCTGATGTTAAGTGATATCGCCGCCCACGGACACTCAATGCCAGAGAACTCGCCAGTGCGTTGCCGGCCTTTTCAGAATTTGTCCGTTCTTTTCTGGAAGGATCCTATTTTACGCTTAGTTTGTATATGGTTCACGTACGCTTATTTTATTAATATATTCTTGATTTAATTAAATTTAATTGTTCTTTCTAAGTCTCGACTCTGAGTCAAATGTTCATATTCTAAGGTCTTGAGCAATGTCAAATATTTCCATCTTCATACGGAAAAATGGTTTGACAGCTTTCGAAACTAGCTTTAAGTTTGATTGACGTTCTAGAATTCGGACCTAAGCCAGGTTTCAAGTTTGAATGCTAGGGGCCGTTCAAGTATTACGTAAGCAGATTTTCTGCATCCCCTCCCCCCCTCCTCTTGACAGCAAAAGTAAGCAAAGCTCTCAAAAATAATAGTACATAAACGTATTAATTTTTTGTAGGAATCCTCGAAAATGCATTTCGTATTCAAGCATACACAATGTGTAAAAAAAGTAAATAAATACTGTTGACGTAATCACCTACTAAGAGAATCAAAGCCCCCCCCATAATGCTTACGTCATACTTGAACGGCCCATTTCCGCTAAAACTATTCATAGTTCAAGCCGGAAACACATAATTGGTTCCTTGCATAATTATTTTATTAAAAACTCAAAGAGAAATCAAGTTTACCTATTCGCCTAATACAATGTATATATTTAGGAGGAGCCCATAGATCTGGATATGAGTATGGACCCTCCCATGGACAGCATGGGGATGGGAATGCCAGACAGTGCGGGTATGGGTATACCTCCAGAGCCTCCGCGGTTCAAAGAAGAACCGCCTGAAAACTGGCAGGTTCGTATTTATTATATAATTACTATCAAGGTTTATACGTGAATTCAATCATATTCTATATAAGTAATGTCAAATTTATAACTGATGACAAAATAAAAATACATATAGAATAAATAATAATCAAAAAATTCGTGTGGCACTCGGGGACTGCCGCGGTAAAGCGTATTAAAAGATTATTTTTTAATACAGTTGCTCAAAAAGTGGCGTATTGCAGGGACGTATAGCGTTCGGGACACACTCGTGCTTTTTTTTTTACCTTTTCCGAACTAGTGCGTTTTCTTTCCCAACTGTCAAAATAATGTCTATTAAAAAGAAAAAAACAACCACGAAGTTTTTACTAAAAAAAATTCATAGAAATTTTTATGATTCATGCAAATATTTCTAAAAAGAAGCTACTGCTTTGTTTCAATATAAGATTTAATGATTTGATTCAATGAGTTAGGTTAGATTTCATTTCATCTCCTTAAATTTCATTTCATATCAATAAAAAATTGTACTGAAGACTTGGCTGTATGGGCATAGTTCCCTTTGCCTACCCAGAATGGGTGAAGAAAAAAAAAAATCTGCTTATATTCTTTTACGGTTTGCGCCATTTTCCAAAAATGTTCTTTGCGCGTTTAGTTGTTTGTTATATTATATATTAAATATACATGAAAAATCATACGAAATAAATAATAGTTTGGCTCAAACAGTAATTAAATATGCAACCTAAAACTTCTCCAGTTAGTATAAAAAACTGTACCAATGTATATGTGAACAATAATTTGTATAAGAAATAAATGATTAGTGAGTTGAGTTTATTGTTTTTTTATTATTTTATTAAATTGCATAATTTTTTCGCAACTGTATTAAAAATAATTGTTCAGTACACGTGCGGAACCGTCATTGCAACTTGTTCCGACTGTCAACCCTCACCTTCGGCTGCGCCTCGGCTCGGGTAGACATTTGTCGAAACTCTTTGCAATGACAGGCTTTCCGCACTTGTAATGAAATATACTATTTCATTTGTTAAATCTTCTTGTTTCAGCCGGAGCCTGCCATTCAAGATGACCTTCAAGTGACTGACAGTGAAGAGGAACCAGAAGATGGACTGTGGTTCTAGATAGTATCCTTCCTAAGTAAATATGTAAGTGGACTAAGGACAATTCGTGTTAAATTAAAAAAACTCTTGCTGTACACAATATGTTTGCCCAAACGGATACTTTGCGTGCGTATACGTTTTGAACGTATACGTTACACCGTGGCTAACGTGATAAAATAGTACTAATACATTTTAGAAATTTGTTCTTAGTCCATTATTATGATTGTATAAATCAAATTTTGTTGTAAAAGATTTATAAGTGAAATGATTATGAAATATTTGTTTTATTTTGCACTATTACGCTACTTTTGACTATTCAAGGTCGATTTAGACTTAGCTGTTTATTTATTTATAGCAAAGAAACTATGTTTGTACATAATAAATAAAACAAAGTACTATACTTTAATTATTTTATTAATAAATTTTTTAATCGATTTTTATTAGAAGGTCAAATAATTGAACTTATTTGAACTATTTTTACCTGCTATTACTTAAATTTTTACTGTATTACCATCTTTACGATTATTATATTTACTTGATGAATTAAATAACCCTTTAATTAAAGTTGTCTTTATCCTAATTTTCAAGCAAACAAAACAAAGTATTTAACGTGGTATGAAACCACAATACACTTACCGAAGTTAAGCAACGTCGGGAAAGTTGTAAAGAGCATCCGCCTTTACAATTTTCTCAACGAAAGGGATGTTACAAGCTAATTTGAATTAGGCTACCTATACGTTTTTTTTTCTTTTTTAAATTATAAAATTCACAAAAACAGTGCGACTTTACATGAATTACAATCTAGCCTATACAATATTTATGGATAATAAGTAATGTTATGTTGACTTAATTTTTTACAATACTAATAAATAGCTTAGGGAGCGTTCAAACTTCAAGTATTACGTAACACAATTTTTGGAGATTATTGAACACCCCCCCCCATACTCCCATAACCTTTACCCTATACAGTACTGTACTTCAAGTATAGTAAAACGTTTCTGACCACCTTGTGTCTCTTTAGTTACTATTATGTGGTGTAAGTCGAAAATAATATTAACAATAACCAAATCAATCCCCCCCCATCTAACGTTTTACAAAAGGAAAAAACGCGTTACTCTTAACCTCCCTTAGACTAAGGTAATGTTAATTAACAGTCTTAGTGCTCTATAGTGATTAGACACTATGTTCGTGTGTACGAGAGACCGCACTTGCACTTATATTCTCTACTCTAGGTTTTTTAACTCAAACCTTAATAGTAAATGTATTTTTACAGTCTAGTAAAAACTAGAATAAATTAAATTTACCTTTAAGCTGAAAGGGTTTTATCTTTAATTAATAAACCTTAATTTTTTACTCTATAACACCTGGCATCTATAGTAATCTTGCTATCATTACAGACTTGACACACCAAGTGATAACAAAAACATAATTCAATATGGATTCCGATGTTGGTAATGTAACGATAATAGAGTTTACCTTAAAATAAAACTTACCTATTATCTTCCTATATCATCCGGTGCTCACACGGTCAGTAAGTAGTTCTTGATAGCAACAATAGAGGGCGGAGGCTTGAATATTTATTCCTGAAAATTTGATAAGACGAAATATAGATGGGTCTTACATGCTCATTCGAGGCTTGGGGTGCTAAAACCCGCCACTTAATTTAGTACCTTTTACATTTTATCACGAAGAATTGCTATGCTTTTATTATTGCGGTCCCAGTCTAAAGTTAAATACTGAGCGGGATACCATAAATTAAAGAGAAGTAATACGATTTCACTCTTCAAATCATTAAAGACACAAAAAGCGTAAAATTCTTTGGCTACAGTTTGGTCACATACTTTTTCGTCTCACCGCTCTGCTTACCGAACTTATGTTTGTTTTATGTGACTTAAAATGGTTTAGAAAATATTTGAAACTTTCTGAAACTAGAGTCTCTCGGACGGATGGGATTTGATATCGCTACATTATATTACTCTTTTTATTACGTTCGCGTTAACACTAATTTTGATACTTTTGGCACCACCAAACATGTTTGAGAATAAATGAAATTACGCATATCAAATGTGAATATTAGTCCGCATTAAAAGTATATTTTAGAAAATAATGATTACCATCCTCGGAGCTGTAAAGCCAACCTAAAAATTATCTAACACAAAAGTTTTACGATGTTTCACAATAAAGAGCCTGATAAATGAAGTCGCTAAAATAGAGCCTTGTTTTGTCTTGAAAAAGACTGCGTACCTATTAAATTCATTTGTGTGAACTATATCTCCACTGGAGCAAAATGTTTAGCATAAACACAAAAGCCGCTCGATATCATAGATATCAAGTACAATTTAAACACCCTCTTATATCTTCGAATGTTTTTTTTGTAGAAAATACAATACTTTTTTTTAATAGGAGGCAAACGGGCAGGAGGCTTACCTGATGTTAAGTTACCCCCCCCCCCCCCATGTACTCACACTGCCAGAAGGCTAGTATGGGGTGCCGGGGCCGTTCCGGAATGGTACGCACTTTTTTGAGAAGTCGAATTGGTTCGGACAATACTTTAGTTGCAGCTGGTTCCACATACTAATAAATCGTCAGTTGTATCGACGGACGTCGAGGTCATGTGGTTTTTACTCACATGCAGTTGCGCCACAATCTTCTCTTGGCCTTTGATTTCTGGATCTGTTTCATGATATTTTTTTTTCGTTCAAGCAGATTTACTGTTCGTGTGTAAAAAAGTAAATAATTAATGTTGACGTAATCACCAAAAAGAAAATCAAAGACAACCCCTCTCCCTTATAGTCTTACGTAATACTTGAACGGCCCCTAAGAGGTAAGTTAAGCACCTGACATGCTAAGTGCTTGCGTCTAAGGCACTTATATGTCGGTTTTCTACGTTCTTCTTCACCATCGGAAAACAAAAGAAAACCAAAACCCATGACACAATACAAAAAAGGATGTATAAATAAAGGGAAAGTCCCCCCCCCCCCCCCCCTCTCCCCCTTAAGAGAAAGTGCCCTCCCCACCCCCTTTTCCCCTTTTTTTTGTGGGCAGATAATCGCAAAACGTCGAGCAAGTGTTAAATGCGCATAGAAAAGAGTCCATTGGGTGCAAGGACGGAGTGCAGATCTGTAAAATATACTACTATTAAACCGAAATAAATTTTAGTGCTTTAAGTTTTTTATATCGTATTGATTTCTCGCCCCCCACTAATATGAAAAAAACGTAGTATTATTACAAAAATCGCTCGGTGTAAGTTATACTGTGTAAATACAAATTTATACCAGTATACGAAGCGTTGCCAATCAACAAGTTATGACTACGAGGGTAAGCAAGGGTGTACGCTACTGTCTGTATGACTTGTGTAATTTGAATACACTCGTAATGTCTTTATACGTCATAATATCTATGGCATTGCAACTGACGCTAGTATTTACTGACAATCAGCGTAGATGTGTCAAGGATAAATAATAAAAAGCTTAAAATATATACTATTTTAATTTCTAAGGCTGTGACGAACGCGTTGTGGTGTATAGTGTTTTAAAATCTATCATCATGAAGCAGAATTCTGTATATTCTCTTGGAATGTATGGAAGAACCAATCGTGACCGCAAGCAAGTACGCTTCTGTGCAGATTTTGATAAATCTATAGTAATCAACAGCTTCCTGCGACGAGGGTGGAGGGAAGTAACTCCCGAAGCAGACTGGAATATTTACTGGTCAAACACAGCTAACTGCCGCAGCATTTTCAATCTGGAAACCGGCTACAGATTACAGGATAACCAGATTATTAATCATTTTCCAAATCATTACGAATTGGTGCGCAAAGATTTACTAGTGAAAAATATTAGACGCTACAGAAAAGAGCTCGAAAGGGAAAACAATCCCCTCGCAGAAAAAACTCAAAACAAAATCGCAGATGGACAGGTCGTCAGTCGCTATTTATATTTAGATTTTATTCCCACGACTTACATTTTGCCCACGGATTATAACCTTTTTCTTGAAGAGTATCGTAAATCGCCACAAACAATGTATATTCTAAAGCCGTGCGCCAAGTCCCAGGGGGCCGGAATATGTTTGATAAACAAGCTCTCAAAGTTGAAAAAATGGTCGAGAGAATCAAAGAAATATTTACAACACCAACTCACCAGCAAAGATATGTATGTTCTTTCCCGTTACATAGATAATCCGCTCTTGATCGGGGGTAAGAAATTCGATTTGAGGATTTACGTTCTCGTAACATCTTTTCGTCCCCTCAAAGCTTATATGTATCGAAACGGGTTTTGCAGATTCTGTTCACTGAAGTACGACACGAGCCTAACTGAGCTCGACAATATTTTCGTACATTTGACAAATGTTAGTGTGCAGAAATACGGCGAGGAATACAACGAACACCACGGAGGGAAATTGGGTATTCAAAATTTAAAACTATATTTAGAAGGGACCCGGGGCCGGGAAGTTACTCAACGTTTATTTGAAGACATGCAGTGGTTGATAGTTCATTCGTTGAAGGCAGTTGCTCCTGTAATGGCAAATGATCGACACTGTTTTGAATGCTATGGATATGATATTATAATTGACGATAACTTAAAGCCATGGCTTATCGAAGTGAACGCCTCCCCGTCGATGACCGCGACTACTATTAATGATAGAATATTAAAATACAATTTGGTGGAGAACCTTCTCTCTATTGTCCTGCCTCCTGATGGGTTTCCAGACGCACGCTGGAACAAAATACCCAGTGCTGAAGCTTTGGGGGATTTCGAAACCCTTATAGACGAAGACCTCATGTACAAGGAAAGTAGTGACGAAAAGAAACTATGAATGATTTTTTTGTTTATTTAGTTATAAATGATGTTTGTTACCTTAAAAGCTTTGTTATAAAAATCTCAATAAATATAATAAAAACAATGTTTATTGTTTAAATTTATGATATCTGTAATAGCGTGAGTTCACATCCTCTCTCTCTATCAATTCTTCATCGATTAATAAGTCGAAGTCACCCAGAGCGTTTTCTGATGGGATTTTGTTCCAGCGAGCGTCCGGTATCCCACCAGATGGCACCACTACAGACACAATATTATCGATTAATTTATACTTTAAAATTCTGTCGTTGTGTGTAGTCGACTGTAACGAAGGGGAAGCGTTGACTTCAATCAACCAGGGCTTTAATGCATTGTCGATAATAATGTCGTAACCATAGCACTCGAAACAGTGTCGATCATTTGCCATTACAGGAGCAACTGCCTTCAACGAATGAACAATAAGCCATTGCATTTCCGCGAACAATTTTTCTGTAACGGAACGGCCGCGCGTTCCTTCTAAGTACAAACGAAAATTTTGAATACTCATTTTCCCTCCGTGCAGGCTGTTGTAGTCGCCACCGTGTTTTTGCACACTAACATTCGTCAAGTGCACATACATATTGTCCAATTCCGTGACGCTAGTGTCATACTTTACAGTGCAAAATCTACAAAAGCCGTGCTGAAATAGATAAGCTTTCAACGGGCGAAACGATGTTACTAAGACGTATAATCTCAAGTCAAATTTCTTGCCACCAATCAAAAGGGGATTATCAATATAACGAGATATAACGTAGCACTCTTTGCTGCCCATCTGTGGGTGGAGGGGAGCTTTCGCTTCACGGGACCATTTCTTAAGTTTCGACAGTTTGTTTATCAAGAAAATCCCGGCGCCTTGAGATTTTCCGCACGGTTTCATAATCCATGTACTTTGAGGGGATTTTCTATATTCCTCGACAAACATGTTGTAATCCGCGGGTAGGACGTAGGTGACAGGTATGAAATCCAAGTGGACGTAACGTGTTACTGTCAGTCCATTAGGCAAAGTGACCTCAGTTTTCTCAGCTAAGGGATTTCCCTCGCGTTCCAATTCCTTCCGATAGCGCTTTATATTTTTAACCAATAAATCTTTTCGCGATAGTTCGTAATGATTCGGGAAATGATTGATCATTTGATTATCGCTCATTCGGTAGCCGCTTTCGATGCTGAATATATTTCTACAGTTTGTTGTGAATGACCAGTAGAAGTTCCATTCATCTTCTGGGCCCACTTGGAGCCACCCACGACGTTCAAAGTTGGTCATAATAACTGATTTTTCCAGGTCCGTGCAATAAGTAACTCTCTTCTCTCTTTCTGGTACTGTTAGATTTTTTGACGCTGAAGCTTTTTTGTTTTCCAAAGCCATATTACTCGAAATTAAATACTTTATAAAAATAAACTGGGTATTAAAATAAATATTACGAAAATATATAACGTTTATAAATCATTTTTCAAATAAAATAAAAAATTGACAAATCTGTTAAAAATAAAGATAATAAACTTTCATAGTTGTTTATTATTATTGGTCATCGTACAGACTAGTTTATTTTCTAATATACCCACAGATTCAGATAGATATATAAATAAATAGGTTGTAATTAGTATTGCCTTTTATTGACATAACTTTTACACATTTAAAGAAAACACTTTTTTACCGGATTGAAGTTATGTATTATTATAAATTTACAATTATTTTACATAATTTTAAATTTTTCCGACGTTTCGCGTACTTTACAGCGTGCGTGGTCACGGTGACTGAAGACAAAAGGTGTTGATTGTCAAAAAGTATCACAGCTGTAGAAAAAGTTGTATTATAGAGGACACCGTGAGTCATTTCTGCCATAACCTTCTTCATTCTTCTTATCTTTTAGTCGATACCAATTACCAACTCCGGGGAAATAAATACAGATAATTTTTGAAGCATAAAGAATTTTAATAAATTTATAAACTGCATATTCTCAATATTTCGTTTATTTAGTATCTAAGCTTAATACAGTTCAGGGCAGCAATATTTTCTTTTAAGATTTGTGCATTTTGTAGAGGAAAATTTAATCAAACTTTCAAGTTGCATAATTTCGCGCAAAAATTTTCCGTCGAAGTTGAGAATTCGCAATTTGGTAGCAAAAAACGTGACGTTAAAATATTCACAAGGGTTGCTGGCTCGATCTCGCTACTCGCTATGCTACACTTCTAAACGTAGATTTAAAAATACTACATATAAACTAATAGAAAAGGGTTAGGCGTTAATCATGTTTCTCAATATAAAGGTGACCGTGTCCGATGGTCATGGCGAAGAAATCGGCATGTATTGACCAAGAAGTGGCGTTGAGGACGTGTCTCAACTCTCAGCCATAGCCGGCTGACCCAAGCCTGACATTCGCGTCAATCACACAGTCATAGCTAAAATGTATATTAATAATGCCATACCATACACAGGTTTGGTATGTTTGAATGTTGAGGTCTCTGAAAGAATGACCAGCGCTGCGGAACACGTCTGCTCCACAGCTGAGCTAGGGCCAGTTACAACCACACCACACACATTAGGTTAAAATTGATTATTTTGTTTGTGTGTGTTTCATTAGTAATAATTGTTATGTCTATGTTATATAAATATAATAGTAAAGTAACGGATTGCCTCGTTTTTATACAGAATCTGTAAATATTTAATTATTTTGCATATAGAGAGTGATCCGACCAGCAAGAGAAATCCATTGCTGTTGAAGCGGAATTCATGGCTTTAGAGATAACAATCGCTTGCTGGCAAAGATTACTCTATAATATTATTACATATAAATGTAACATTTTCAGCTTAGTTTCGTTAGTTTTCAAAAGGCAATTTAGATTAAATCATAACTAGTTGAAACATTTTTCGTAAATCCTATAAAACAACGTAATGGGGTTAATCAACGTCGGAGGTCGCGAACGCCGAGTTTTTACGAAACTTTTGCACTATTAAGCGCTGTTGTGTTGCTGCTTAACATATAGAACACTCGTGGGAAGTTATGCTAGGAGCAAAGTAGCAATATTTTTCCTGGACGGCAAACATTAAAATGCAAATTAGCTAAGTGTTCACCGCATAAACTAGGACCACTTAAATCCACTGTGTTTAGCTATTTACGGTTGAACTCACAACGGTTTCATTATAGTCTAGACATCGACAGGCGATCGCTTCGTGTAAATTGCTTTCTCCTTACTAGTTATTTTGTTATAAAACTGTTTAATTAATTCCTACTCTTATGGCCTTTGAATGTGCGGCCAGTGCAAGTCACATCCTCTTTTTCCAGTAACTCTTCATCTATAAGCAAATCAAAGTTTCCAAGAGCTTCAGGGCTCGGGGTTTTATTCCAGCGAACGTCGGGGATACCATCAGGCGGTAGAACTACTGAAATCATGTTATCTATTAATTTATACTTCATAATTCTATCGTTCACGGTAGTGGAGGTAAGTGACGGCGAGGCGTTGACCTCGACTAGCCAGGGTTTTAACTGGTCATCAATTATTATATCGTAACCGTAACACTCAAAACAATGCCGGTCGTTCGCCATCACCGACGAAACCGCCTTGAGCGAGTGCACAATAAGCCATTGCATGGCTGAGAACAGCTTTTCAGTCACGGCCCGGCCTCTGGTTCCTTCTAAAAATAATCGTAAGTTTTCAACGCTCATTTTCCCTCCGTGTATATTGTTGTAATCGCCCCCATGCTTCTGTACGCTCACGTTCGTCAGATGCACATACATATTGTCCAATTCAGTCACACTAGTGTCGTATTTTACTGTGCAAAATCTGCAGAACCCCAATTGGAACAGATAAGCTTTTAGTGGCCGAAATGACGTCACCAACACATACAGACGCAAATCAAACTTTTTCCCTCCGATAAGCAAAGGGTTGTCAATGTATCGGGATATCACGTAGCTTTCTTTGCTTAGTTGAGGGTGAAATGGAGCTTTGGCCTCGCGAGACCATTTCTTTAACTTCGACAGTTTATTTATAAGAAAAATTCCCGTACCCTGAGACTTTCCACACGGCTTCATAATCCACGTACTCTGTGGGGACTTTCGATACTCTTCGACAAACATATTGTAGTCCGCCGGAAGAACGAAGGTAACGGGAATAAAGTCAAGGTGAACGTATCTGTTCGCCACTTGACCCCCAGGGAGAATGACTTCAGCCTTCTCAGCGATCGGACTGGATTCTCGCTCTAACTCTTTGCGATATCGTTTAATATTTTTTACAAGCAAATCCTTCCTCGACAACTCGTAGTGGTTGGGAAAGTGATTGATCATTTGGTTATCGTTCATTCGGTACCCGCTCTCGACACTAAACAGATTCCGGCAGGTCTGTGTCGACGCCCAATAAAAATTCCATTCTTCGTCTTGTCCCACTTGATTCCAGCCTCGTCTCTCAAAGTTACTCATTAGAACCGACTTTTCCATGTCTGTGCAGAAATTAACTCGACAACGTTCGATAGGCGCGGCGTTTACTCTACCGTATTGGTTTGATATTAGTTTTTTTGTGTCTGCATTCATTTTCAATGTAGTCTTAATTTGTTCTATATAACTTGCAACTGACCTGCTTCGTACGTATCCAATCGGAATCTGAACTTTCAGTCAAAGCGTTGCGATAGAAACATTGATTAAACAAGGATAGAGAAGTCTCAAATGCTTAGTGAAGCAAATTTAAAAATTGCATTTATTCGATAATTTTTCAAAGTAATATGATATATTATATAGTTTTCTTAATTACATGTGTGTGTGGAATCAATCAACAACCTTTTTAGGTCTGGAACTCAGATTTCTGTATCTGTTTCATGATCATTTGTCAATCTAATAGGCAAGTAGGTGATCAGCCTTGTGTGCCTGTCACACGCCGTCGACTTTTTGGGTCTAAGGCAAGCCGGTTTCCCCACGATGTTTTCCTTCACCCTTTGAGCGAATGTTAAATGCGCACATAGAAAGAATGTCCTTTGGTGCACAGCCGGGGATCGAAACTACGTCCTCAGGGATGAGAGTCGCACGCTAAAGCCATTTGGCGGACAGTGTTTATTATCAGTGTTTAAATTCCACCCCCCATTTATCTTTTGTAATTATGAACGAAGAAGTGCGCAATTTGTATCATTCAGGCCCCGAAAGTTAAATGTAAATGTTATAAAATATAAACACGCTTCCCTTTAATAAATATTCTGAACAGGTTTCTAGCGACCGTTAATATTACTCTACAGTTAGTGAAATACGTCGGTATTAAAAATATTTTTTTCGCAATGTTACTTTGAAAGGACTGGTCATTAATTCTAATGGAGCTCTCACAGTACAGTTTCTAAATTATAAAATACATTAACATTATCAAAAGCGCTCTTTGCTCTTCGTAGATGTGTTTAATATAAACTGTAGTTATACATTTACTATAGTTCAAGTTTCAATTAAATAAATAAATAAGTCAGTGGCACTACAACCTCTTTTAGGTCTTGGCCTCAGATTTCTGAATCTTTTTTTGATCATTTTTTAAATCTAATAGGCAAGTAGGTGATCAGCCTCCAGTGTCTTGACACACACGTCCAGTCCTCCTGACACGCGTCGTCGACTTTTTGGCTCTAAGACATGTTGGTTTCCTCACGATGTTTTGCTTCACCGTTCGAGCAAATGTTAAATGCGCACATAGAAAGAAAGTCCATTGGTGCACAGCCGGGGATCGAACCTACGACCTCAGGTATGAGAGTCGCACGTTGAAGCCACTAGGCCAATACTGCTCAATTATCTAAGCTATTTCGTTCCCATAGCGATACCATAAATAAACGAAGCAACGTTCAACTAAATAATTCAATACGGACACTATATAAAAAGTAAAATGTAAAGCGGGAACGGCGAATGATCGTGAAAAGAATTTCCTAACATTTTCCTTTCTCAGATTACATACATTTTTGCAAATATACTCAGACCATTATTATGATTAAGTTCTGTGGATGCATATAAATTTACGCGCTTCGTTGAGCGCAACGACATGGATTTTGAGATAAATGTATGGCGTAATTGCAATTCCATGTCTGAAAATTTCGTTATTTATTTGATTCTTGGGCGGATATCAAATATCGTCGTAAAAGTTTGTTATACTATACTTTGGGTTAATATTTAATGTCCCTTGAGGCATTTAGTAACGAACGAACCATATGTCATTATAAGCTAAAATATTAAATGATTATTTAAGTTATTTATAAATAGGAAGGTAAGTTTGATTTTGGTGTTATCAGTGCTTATTCACTATATGTTTATCATTTTATTTGAACTATTTTGTATAGATGAGATTATATTAAGTTCTTTAATTTTTTTGGTGGTAATCGCCATGTACTTTATGAACTAAAGGGCCGTTCAAGTG